TTCAAAAAGTAGGGCAACTATCCGGCTCTTACATATCTCAAATTATTAATTCTTAACTTGCAACCCACCTTCTCTTTATTGAAGCCTCAGAAAATCCCATACGTCACAAAGTAACTTTTTCTTCCTGATTTCTTGATAATATATATAATAATGAAAGGGACGACTTTCATATAAAACTTATGATAAATTCAATAGCACGATGATGAAAGTCAAAAATATTCATAGTTCTTCTTTATGACATTGTATGTTTAACTTTATAAATCTTTATTTTAAAAACCATCTCGTAGCACTCTATTATGACACTCATAGTCCCGCCTTTTTAATTTACTTACGTTGTACTATGAAGTCTAGACGTTGCCATCTATCAACTAAAATTAAAAAAAAATGAAATTTAATATACCATGCATCGTCATCGCTGTGGTTAAGGTTAAACAAGTGCACACAAATAACTTTCCATTTACAGTATAAAAGGGAATAGTTTTTTCTATTAAAGAACAAAATCTGGGACCGTTAGTGGATATTATCCAAATCAGCATAACGACGGTCGCATTTATTTTGCTTTTATTAGCTTCGGTTTCAGGCATCTGAAAAAAAAAGTCAAACCCGCACAGAAATAATTGCAAAAACTATAATCTGCACAGGGTGTGAAATTTTTGCACATTTTTCTAGACGTCCGCGTTATAGCGAATTCAACGAGGTATCGCACATATTTTGATTCGCAGTAGCAACAATTAACAATTTCTCAACGTGTTGACTAGACTTATAGACTCTAGCAACAAACAGTGTTTGGCACTTAGGGACGCACCGGAGCGAAGCCGGGGTAAGTTGCTAGTTACATTATAGAGACTTATAATTATACTGTTACATCTTTCCTTACGCTTATTCTCATTGTAACATTTGTTGCATTATATATTTATTTCTGAGAACATTTTTATACAGTCACTTTATATTTTACAAGTTCTATTGTCACGAGACTACCTGATGACTTGTTTAAGTTATAACCCAACTTCAACTCGTTTATTTCTGTCAATTTAGGACAGACACAAAGAAAAATTACCTTTGACCGTTGAATTGAAAGACTTGGCAAGCTTGAGGGTAAAAGAAAAATGTAAAATAATATAGACGCGAGATTTTATTCTTGGCATAACAACAGAGAGCAGAGGGGCGATGGGGCCACAATAATATAATTATGGACTTCATGGTCGACAAATAAATGATTTGCATGTGCGGCTCATCTCGATCAATTGAACAACGTTTGTAGAATATGCAGCGGATGTCCTTTTCATTTCAAACACATTTTTTTTTGTTATTAAAATTAATGTAAAACAGATTAAAACTATATTTTAATGACACCTCTCAATACTACGTTTAATTTACAATTCGATTATCACTTATTGCGTAGTACAAACATGTTTAAAAATATTTTTGTGTTGGAACTATTAATATAAAATATATTTCTATTTAAAGCTGTAAAACTAAAATAACATAACTATAGATACTTTGTGATAAGATTACAGGATACAGGTATTTACACCATAAACGAACATGTGCTCTCCGGAGACTGCTTAGTGCTTAAAGCGAAAATAACGTTCTTATCGGAACCGTAAACTCTGTACCAGCAGACACGAGAGCTTACACTCGTATTCCGAATATAAAAAATTCAAATGACAGCTGTTCGTCGTATCTTAAGGGGAACGGTTTCTTATTGTATAGACTATAGATACAACGTATAAAGAGTGATAAGCTTAAACATTATTTATTAAAATTTACTGGCAAAAGGTAACAGCTGAATTGGGAGTCTGTCAGTTTGATAATAAAGCTAGCTCTAATTTGATATATTTCCAAAAATATATAACTATACTTATGTATCTTACAATGTTGCAATTTCACAATAGTAGATTTATTTCTACCTACCCCGAAAGAGTGAAAATTAGAGATAAAGCTTCTAAAAATATGTACGATAGCTCATTGGATCCAGAAAGACGCCTAGAAAAATGTTTTTAAACCATTTTTCAGCAGTCAAAATTGTAAAAGTTATACACAAATAAAGATTAAAAAGAAAGTATTTATGTTTTTCGTTATTATTTTATGTTGATATGTTTAATGAATATATTAACAGCGCCATCTTTAGCAACGTTTTTAACAAATTATAATATAAGATTCTATATTAAACGACGACACAAAGCAAAAAGAAACATATCTACACTAACCTAAAAAAACTATAAAGCCAAAGTTATTTTTTAGAGATCGTACGTCCCTAACATACAATCTATAAAAATATTGAACCTGAACAAATAAATTGTTTTATAACAAAATATTGAGCTCAACCGTACTTATTTATCAAACACACAAATTACATTTCCATCCGATTTCACCTTAAAATGAATCAAAATAGCGATATTACATGTAATTTGGTAACTCCCACCGTATAACCATATCACCTCCCGCAAACCCTCGGCAGATTGCAAATCTATACAAATAGAGGCATTTATCCCGCTTCGCTTACCAGCAGTGTCACCCGGAGGTACGCAAAATGAAGATGGAACGCCGTCCCGTCTAACCTTTAAATAAATCTTGACGCTCCCCCAAATTTCACAACCCCTTTTACAACTTTACTAGTTCTTAGATATATTGAAATAGACTTTTATCATGCAATCATTCATAATGCTTTTAATATTGATTTTTAAGAGCCTTCATAAGTGCTCTTTATTATATACATAAGTAAATTAATAGATCTAATAGGCCATCTTGTACCCAAATTATTATTTTATAATTATTTTATTTTTAATTAAATATGAAAGAACATTACATAAAGAATTTTTAAATAAATTTTAATTAAGTTTTTTTTTGTAAATAATGTTTACAGAGCAAAGTGCTAACTTTATTTTATTCAACAATAGGATCGTCTAATTTTTTGCAAAGATATACTCGTAGTTTATGGGCCGGAGTGACTTAGAATTTTTATCCGGTCACATCCGGCCTTTAGATTATTTGTCCATTGGTAAAAGTTATTTTAATACTCGTTATATTATAAAGACGCTTAAAAAATAAATTTTAACTTATATGGATATAATATAATATATATAACTAAGTAAATAATGAAGACATTAACAAAATAAAAGCACTGAACTTAACCACTGTTTAAAATGTATCATGTAACAAGACTAGAAACATATCAACATAATATCTCAGGATAATACAAGCTGTACTTTTTCCAAGTATATTATGATGATGCGACAGCAAGTGGAAGGCGGCAAGGCGGCGTCGCAATGCAGACTGGATGCGCCGATGACCTACATCACAATATATCCACAGTACAATCTAACACGCAAAAATTCGCTAACGAGCTATTCCTTCAACCCACTTTTGACAATTACAGCTAGTGCCTTTGTTAAACTTTCAGATTGAAGCTGGTCTGATGTCTGTAATAATGGAGGAGGATTCGTTGATCTAGTTAATATTTTGCAGAAATGTGGTGTAGAGTACAAATTCCATTACTTTGTTTTTATTATATGCTTTTAATAGTAGATATAAAGCTTCGAAGTAGCGCATATCTGTCGGCAAAATTTCAGGTCATCTAACTCCATAATCAGGCTTTGTACTATAAAAATATTTTGTGTCTTAGTCGAGGCATCGAGTCGCTATCGAGCGAGTCATATATGTATAGCTGACTGATTCTCTGACTGCCATTCATTTATAAGAAAATAAGTGAATTTCGAGAATGTGAGAATGAGAATGTGTGAATTGAATGAAGGGGCACGGGACCTCTTTGCCGGCAACTCTATGCAGGCATCGCAGGTACGGTACTCCTGTCTGGCTCGACGCCCTCTTAGCGTCAAACAGGGCAGCAATTGTGTAAAGCATGACGGATCTTGTCGGTGAGAACGAAGCGGGTATACAATGTAGTATCATAAATACATCTGGCAATGGACGCACTCTGGGAACTCCAAGTAGGTGCTTGCCGAGGCACCTATACAATTTTCAACTGCAACAACTGGCGAGCGGAGAACATCCAGCGTGAGAGAGAGGGAGTCGCTTGAAGCAGGCGCCTAGCTGAGATGGCCTTGATCCCTCGTTAGCAGTAAGATCTAGAGACCCTAGCCGCTGGTCAGGCGACAGGCGAAAATCAACAAGCTAATGTAACACAATCAAATATTACAATAATTGTAAACGTCAACATTTATTATTTGTCCGTCATATGACAAATATCCACTATTTGTCACTATAAAGTGTTTATTAGTTTACTACGCCGTCGAATTTGAAGAAAAACAAACCACCACTTAAAATAGTGATAGTTAAAGCACTGACATTGTTATAAAACCGACGAGTTAAAGTCCTGACATATTTTTTTTTTTTTAAAAACCACAAATATATTTAGATCAAGTTGTATATTCTAAAGCATACGTTTATTATTATATCAAAAATGGAAACAAGGGGTTTAATTTTTTTTACAGTGTATTCTTATCATACTTTATCATACCACTAAAAAAAAGTATTTATTGCCGTAAAAAAATACAAAAAAAAAGTAAACAGAATCAGTAAAAGCTTAACTTAACTTATGGCAAAGGGTTCAACTGTTAACTCAGCTAAAGCTGCTAAGGTCGAAATCTCAAGTAGCGCTGATTTTCAGGTATACCCAGCTAGCCGTTAGGGTGTTAAGCGGGAGCAAGGCAAGAGGAGTATTCCTTCCTATTTAGAGAAAAAACCTAATTCAAAATAAAAAGCAATAATTTTTTTTAAAAGAGTGTGTGCGCGTATGTGTGTGTGTGTGTGTGTTGAGTACAATAGGATGAATATATTTGATGGCTTATTAAATTAAGTATTATTATTATTATCATTAAAAATAATGTTTAAGTTTTGAATGGCTCATTCCTTCTGTATAGGAATACTTCAAGTTTTCTGCAGCAAGTTGCCTTTTTAATAAGTCTCTTTTGTATACTTTCCTAAAATTACCACTCACTTTAAGCCGTAGCCAAGCAATTTTTTTCGAAAGATTCCTAATGGGCAAATTGAAGAGTTGGCAACTTTTATCGTTTCTTTCTTCAGGATGTCAATTGTATAAAAAAGTGGCTCGACGAAGCCGGGACAATCTGTTAGTTAGTAAAAAAAACCTTAAAGTATTAAAAACAAATCAAGTGGATGTAACTTCCGACACTAAGTATTTAGTCGTATTTATAGCGCGTACGTCACACGTCGCTACGTCACCTCTACAAGCTACAGCGCGCAGTCCGCGCGTAGCCACGCGTGCGGTGACCCATTCACTAAGTGATAATACACACAACGTAAAAAAAATCGCCAAGGTATTTTAATCATTATAGATAAAAATAAAAAAATATATAATTAATCTGGTTAACTTTGTTGTATTTTATTTAGTACATAGCATAAAACATATGAGGTTTGTATAACGCATCTTATATTATAGTCCACTTTATATTATTATTATTATTATTATTATAAATTATAAATTTTTCAAGATATTAGATGAAAACACTAATTCTATAAAACAATTTGGTATCAGATGGCGGGAATGAAGTTTTGTGGTTCATCGTCGAGATTGCTTCTGCTGAGCGTTCCAGCTTTCATTATGCTAAGTGGTGAGTTGCTATCCAATATGTACATAAATAAAAATCTTTTGAAATATTAATATTTTCTTTGTGTATAAATTATTCGTAATTATTAGATAAATTAATATATTTAATAGATTTTGGCTTTATAACTAAATATTATTATATGTTCTCACTTATCGAAATACCTATATGCAATGATAAAACTAAAAAGTATTTATTACAAAAAATATATTATAATAATGAAGGACACCAACGAAGAATTGAAGTAAGATTTAAATTATCATACAAACAATTCACGATTTAGTTTCTTGCATATTTGCCATTGCAAATGCATTTGAGAAGTTTGTAGGAATCGATATTTTATAACACTCAACTTAGCAAAAACTTTACTTTAACTAAGGTCGAGGGATATAGCATAATCATATTATATAAAAGAGCATTTTTAAATATTATTTAAAATATTCACAATTTCACATACGTACATACATATTAAATTAAAATATCAAGTTAGAAAATAACATTACTCAATGCTAGCCGGCAGTTCGTTATACAAACTGGCGTAACTGGGTCACATCGCTCTCACATAAGTCAAAATAATTTAAAGGATACACCAATTTACGAACATTTTGTAGAAGAAAACTCTTATCGTTCCAAGAGCTTTCTGGAACTTGCCCAATATTCCATTACAAAGATATTTTTGTTATTAAAAAGTCATACTACAAAACTATGCTTTATAATAAATAAAAAAAAATCTTTTAGGTAATTTTGCTGTTTCTGTAAGTATAAATATAAAAATTATGTAATTTAAATGTACATATTATGAATGTATATATTATAAGAATATGAATACTACTCATCTGGTTTTTTTTTAATGTAAAATAATGATATGCACGTGCAATGTGTATTGATAAATAAATATAAAATAAATACCATAAAATTTGACGTTTTTTAAACGTTAATTAATTAAGAGTTCGGTGAAGTGGCCCTTATAGTGAAAGTTCCGAAGTGGAATAGCTTTCACTCATCTGCTTACACAATTAAGGAAATGAGTTGTTTTATGAAATATTCCATCTTTGTCATCCTATAAATAAAATAAATAAAAATTGTGTTTGTTTCATTTGTTGTCTTGCATTGGCTTTTTCGATTTCATGATTTGAGAACATGTTAAAATATTATAGTTTAACTATTAAATCAACCGTGTTGATATGAAGGCCTAGGCTTAAATCGACAGATATAAATTATATGACAACATATAATGAAACAAAATAAAAAGAGTTCTTATTATGAATAATTCCTTTTTTAATATTGTTTACTCTCATTTAACGTCGTTATTACCGTAACGTTTGTCTTTGATACATAAAGGTACAAATGGCGTACGCCGTTAATATTTTATTCATTTTCTTACCAGACCTTCACTACATGTGCCTTTTCTCACCAAACGTTTCAATTTAAAATTTCACATAAATTATATTGATTTTTTTATTAAATTAGTTTTATTATCTTTTAAAAACATATAATTTAAAAAAAAATACATAATAAATTAAACTTGTATTAGTATAACATCTTTACGTCTTTAAAAAAGATTCGTGCAATTCGGTTGAAATTTAGTATCTCTCTCTATATTGCTATAATAATACATGACGAATGAAAATATGCTTAATTCAAATATTTTTTCACATCTTTTTTCTAAAAAAATCTTATAACAAATATCTTTTATTAAAAAAAATAAGAAAAAAAATCGTACTATTGACAGACATTTTGTTGTTTTAATAAGAAAGAATAGTTATTACCTATTGCAATCGTTGAAATAATTATTGCAACCATAAAATCTTTAAATCTAATAGCAATTTGAGAATCATCTAAGAGGATATTATGCATTGCATAGCTTATGACGTCAGACTGAGTGTGGAAAAAGGCGATGGTTAAACAACTCAAATTTTTGTTTTACATATTTAAAAAAATAATAAAAAAGAAACATTGGCAAACGTAGTCATAATTTTATGATATTGGAATAATGTAAAAATGAAAAAAAGTCAAATAAATACATGTACTTGAAGAGTTCTTTTGTTCCTTCCTATTCTCTTCAAATACGACCTTTCAAATATACCTTCACGTAAGTACATATATTTAGTACTTACATATATCATATATATGAGTACATACTATTTTTAAAAATAAAAGCGTTTTGTATTAAGTAATACTTACGTATAAAAAGGATAGTTTTGAGAAGTTGTGATCTATTGAATTAACTCTATTATAAATGTATTTTCTATATATTTTAATGACTAGTATGGCTTTAGGCACGAATCTCAAAGGAATTATCTTTATCTCAAATGACATTTCTTTAAGATAAAATTGAGATTACTTTATGTAAGGATAATTTAAACTCGCGTCCCAGGAGTGTGCCACGTATTCTGTCGGATAGACTTTACAGCTCCCTATCTTGAAAAAGATAAATCTATTACTGAAGTTTTGAAAGCTCTTTTCTGTAATAAAATTCTAGGAAAATAGTAGCAGCTCCAGCATAACATATATGCATTAAATTAATTGTTTGCTTACTGAATATTTTAATGCTTGCTTCGGCCATGAATAATAAATCGGTTAGATTTATGTGAGAAAACCATATAATACATTAGACTTATTATTTATTTACAGACAATAGATTTAACATGTGAAAAGGAAAAAATTATCTATTATTTCATTATTGTCTCATAAGGTTCAACCAAGCAATTTAATTATTAAAATACTTTATTTTCTGAAGTGCTCCTACATATGATACATTTGGAGAGAAACTATTTACTAAGCTAAAGTATTTTACATGTTTATGTACAAATAAGCTTTACGTAGCTTGGCACTCGTATTTCAGGTCACGCCTAAGTTCACAAAGCAAACCGCCAGGAAGGCGGTGTGGCAAAGCTTGTTCAATTTATTCTCCAAGTGCTAAATTTCTCTCGACCCGACCCGAGCCGCTATAAAACATTCACGAGAACTTGCGCCTACTTTGGTGTCAAGTGCTTGCACAGTGCCCCTCAGAATAGATTTCTGCTTCTTCGTTAAAATCAAATTAAGAATTATTGCGCTAATTATTTTTCACTAGCGACTCACCCTCGCTCGGCTCGCGTTCGTCCCTAGTTTCGTTTTAACGTCTAGTAGAGATTTCTCAGAGATGAGATATTTTCCCATCAGCAGTAAAAAGTATCCTGTATGTTGACCCTAATAACCAGCTATCATCATACCAAATTTTATCAAAATCTGTCCAGTGGTTTTCTCGTGATGCGGCCACAGACAAAGAGGCAGACAGGCAGACAGACAAAAATTCTAAAAACTACAGATTCGGCCTCTGTATCGATTACAATGATTATTTCAATAAGATTTTCCAAAAAAATATTTACTGTACAGATTCGACTCAGAATTATTTAACTGACTTCCAAAAAGGAGGAGGTTCTTAATTCGTCGGAATCTTTTTATGTATGTTCACCGATTACTCGAAGACGCCTGAGCCGATTTCGATTTTTTTTTGTTTCGAAGGGTATATTTCCCAGGTGGTCCCATTTAAATATTTTTTTCAAATAAATTGCTTAATCGCATATGTTATTAAAAAACTTTCTTCTTACACATTATCTGCTTATTACGTCTACATTAAAAAAAAAACTTAAAAAAACTTACTTCCAGGCACTAAAATGTAAAAAATAACTAAACGGGGGTTTTCATTTAGAATAGATACCTAATCAGATATTTTCGAAGTCGGTGCCAGCCGACAATATGTTAAGATATGAATATCTAATAGTTAAATATGATTAGGTATGAACTCTTTAGTTAAAATATTATACTTACATCAATTTGTGATGTAAGTATTTTAGGTATTAAAAATATACCTATTAGATTTGCTTTGTATCGGCTTCAAAAATATCTGATTAGGTATCTATAATAACTAGCGGCTCACCCTCGCTTCGCTCGGGTTCGTCGCTAGGTATGTTTTAAATAGATATAAATAGTTATTAGCCAGCGTTAGCCATATAAATTTAATTTTTTTTTTCGTTAATTTTTCATTTTTTCTCTCTATTAAACCTTTCGTGGACCTTAAGGAACATATGAAAAAAAATTAGCCGAATTGGTCCAGCCATTCTTGTGTTATGCGCTCACCAACATTCATTATTTATCTATATAGAAGATTCTAAATGAAAAACCCCGTATAGTTATTTTTTACATTTTAGTGCCTGGAAGTCGGTTTTTTTAAGTTTTTATTATATGTATAGATTACTTCGTCAAACATAATATTTACGAATACAAAAAAATGTTAGTGATAATTTATTATGTCAAATTATTTTAGAAATCTAGACTCCTAAACATGAGCAGATATAATTCATTTTGCAGTTTAAAATGAATAATTGCAAACGACAAAATATATATCTGGGATATGACACACCTACGGTCCTGCACTTTTAGTTCATATTTTATTCAACATAAAGGCCATAAAGCAACAAAAATTTATAGTCCTACGTGTAGCGACCGCAATATTTGTAACTCCACAAAGGAAATAAAAAGGGTAATGCAAGTAGAGCTCTCCATCGTTAGAAGTGTTTCGTATAAAAACGTTATAATAAATAAAGAACGTTAAAATTATTTAAAAAAATGATAATATTTATTTATTATTGTTGATTATACGCCAATTATTATTGTTGAATATAATCTGATAAAAAAAAGATCAATAGATTTAAAAAAAAACTATTTATGCCTGCGATTCTGCTTCTATGGTAATAGGTACATCGATAAAATGTACGTAGCTTATGTTGGGATCAATATCCAGGATTTAAACTACATATCTCCATTCTGAGGAGAAAAAAAGATTCGTAAAAAGTATGAAACACACCCTCTCGTAAACTTTATCACTTAACCCAAATTGTAAGATTAAATAGGTTATCACATACATACATACCTATTATGTGTAGGTTATAGATAAAAATATAAAACTCAATTTTGAGATGGATTTGATAACAATTTATTTAATTTAATATCAACTAAGTATATATATCTACAACTCGAGCAGAACTCTAACAACATTTATTATTGCTAGAAATGACAGCGAACACATACAAAACTATATTTTCGTAGCACAATATTTACGGTCGCACTATAGAGAGTAATCAACGCTGTCTTTCCGCAAAACTGAATAAATGATCTCTAACCGACGCTCATCGAGGGTGGTATGGCCTAGTTATAGCCCTTCGCTGTAAATTGTATTTTGTTGGCGGAGTACAACATTTATTTTATATAAAAATTATTTATTAATATAAAAATGAATATATATATATAAAGTCTACGTGTCAGTAAGGTTAAAAGCGGTCCTTTACCATTCATGCGATTGTAATGAAAGTTTGGCAAGACATTTTTTAGGTACTCGCGAAGGTATAGGAATCAAGTACCGAGTGATTTATTGGTCCGCATACATGATACAACAAGTACAATTACTAAGTCATTCCCTTCACATATGGGCGATGCCAGGGCGGCATACTAGCACGGTAATGTAATGCATATATTACCGTGATACTGGTCCCTGTGACGGTTGCGCAAAAAGTGTTTCAACGGCCTATTTGAATTGTACTTTTTTAATTGCTATTTTTTGATAAAATACTTATATGTATTAAAAATAAACACTTTTTGTAAGCGCAGTAAACACCAGTAAATAATTTAAAAAGGTTTCTAGAAACCAGTCAAATAGCCTATTCTTGTAAAACTTTAAAACTTCTTGGAAATCATACCTTAAGGGGGTGAAAATGGGGATGAAAGTTTGTATGGGGAATCAAGATAGGGACGAACCCGAGCGAAGCGAGGGTGAGTCGCTATTATTTGATATTTTTGGAAGTAAATTATCTTTTAATTAAAATAATTAATAGCCGTGACCTACGAACCTTAGACGCAAACAAATATATATGGTAACGTATTTGACCATTTGAATGATAAATGATAATCACTTAAGTGATTAATAGGTTAACTTTTACTGTGTCGGGTTCAAATAATCGATGACTTTAATACAAAAAGGTACCACACTTTTTAAATTGTTACAGACATTAATCATGTCAACAAATGAATTACGTTATAAAAGGTATTATGTAATATTAATTGTTGTGGACTAAGATCCCACTGCAAGATTGCTACGTTCATAGCGTATTTAATCGAAATCATTTTTTTATATACAAAGATAGATTAAAGTGAAAGAGAGTTAGCGCGTTAGTTAACTGTTTGTTGCCATGGTAACCGTTGTTATTGTCTGACAAATGATTTATAATATTATATCCTTTCCTTCTTTTCTTCCCATTGCGGCCACTTTTACATAGGTGAGAGGTATTTTATCATGCACAGAAAAAAATAGCTTTAATTTGATATATAAATGATGAATATACGCCATGAGCGTATAAATGTAACAAAAACATTTTTAATGACTCGCACCACTTTTGCGGCCACTTTTACATAGGCAGACGTAGTTTATCAGGTACAGAAAAAAAATAGCTTTAATTTGATATATAAATGATGAACATACGCGATGAACGTATAAACGTCCCAAAATATGACCCGCTTACACCTGGCTGCGAAGAGGTTGCGGCCAAATGCGCAACGGCAGCTATCATTTTTCAAGATCTCTACGTATAGTTCTGTGAAGTAGAGTATAATTCATTGTAATAACAAATGCATCGTTTTTGTTCCAAAAAGTCGACTATTATTTAGTTAATTAAACATACTAGCGGGCACATTTGAATAGGCACCCCGGTCAATACATATTGTCCCTTTTATTATTGTATATAAAAAATTGATTTCGATAAAATACGCTATGATCGTAGCAATCTTGCAGCGGGATCTCGATGCATTGGATTGGCAAATAAATGGCAGGGATATCAATATCATTTTTAATTTCAAAGGAGAATGCCCAGCAACCACCCAAGACACTTTGGCCCTGCGTGCAGACATTAAATAGCGCATGGAAATGATAATATGCAATAGTGTGTAACATGACTGATGTATCAAAGCAGGCAGGGGTGACGAGGACCTCAATACCCCGTATATCGATATACATACTGATGGTCGTTTTATGGCCAAAAACGTGCATTGCATTTTACCCACAAACTTATGCGTTAACTAACGTAGACTATAAACTATGAACTTATAACATAAACAAACTGCACTTACCTACGAACACTAACCCAGTTTTAATGTTAGCTTTAACTTTATAGTATATTAGTTATTAAAGGGCTTACTCGCTTTCAGGAGCTTAGGTATATTTAATATTTATGACGATATCCTTTTGAAATATCTATGAATCTATTTTTTTTAATAAACAGATGTTTTAGTAGTTCCTAGTCGCTGGACAGTTTTGACCCGGTTCTGATATTGGGACAGCAAAATAACAAATATTCACTGTACCATTCGGATTGTGCTCCTCAATTTACTATGAACCGATTACCAAAATTGAATTTACATTCCTGTATCACTGTAACCTAAATTAATATTTGTTTAGGATTGCTACATACATACAAATATCTGGTTGATTTAATTGGTAAATCGTTTATATTTGTACATATTATTTTTATTAAAATTAGTTAGAATTTTCATAGTTATTAATGTTTTATGAGAACTTTCATTAAGTGCACCTAAACCTAAGTCTCTCTACTTGAACGGTGAACAATGAATGATTCGTCCTGAACAGTATCCAAGATAAAAATAAATAATAATAATAAATATATTGGGACATTAACAAACAGCACCATCTAGTTCCATGGTAAGCTACCTGGCTTGTGCAATGGATACCATATAGTTGATACCTTACCTACACATATATAATATAAATATAAACACCCATGACTGGAACACAAACATCCGTGCTCTTCACACAAATGAGTGCCCCCAGCGGGACTCGAACCCGCGACCGATGGCGCAGCAAGTAAGGTCACTACAAACAGCCAAACGTGTCGTCCATCAATGCAAGCCATCTTTAAGTACATAGAATCGATATGCAGCGTGAAGAAATAACAAACACACTCACAGATTTATTTATTCGCTTCGCTCGGTTGAGCGAGTGATTTAGTCTGTGAGTAAATAAATCTGTAAGTCATAATAAGTATTTTATACATTTATATATTAGTATCATATCTGTTTCTGTATAGAATGCTTTCAGCGCACAACCTTTTTACTTGGAAGCTATTAGAGCTACATTGCTGATATGGATGTGTCTCGTGTGAACTACTAAGACAATCCTGTTATCACAATTACAAAGAAATAAACATGGCTCCCAAATAAAACTGATACTCAAATACACACTCCCGTACACGTCACTGAGTGGTGAATTCATTTATATTTTTTCTATAATTTTAATTGTTTTGTTTGTGATGCTGTTGATGATTTTGTTTCGTTCGATTTAACGCATGGGCGTTTGTTTTGATACTTTGGCGGCCGATAATATAACTTTGTTTGTTCTAGCTGCTGTAGCTGTAGTAACAGAGAAGAGTCGTAGTTGCTACTGGTGCGGACCGCTGGCCGAGCAAGTACACCGCAGCCGTCGCGCGCCTCCTTGCGACGTTGCGGGTAACCACGTCACTACCTGCGAGCCTGATCTACCACATTGCGCTATTGTTGCTACTTCGCCACGTAAGATTTACTTTTACATGTTACCTATGTATAACCTAGCAAGGAGTACAGTACTTCACCCAACCGTATGAAATTAATTTGTACAAGCCTTTACTGTAAAAATTACTATGTTCAATTTCCTTATTTATGAATAAAGTTATTATTATTATTATATTCCTATTACCTACAGAAACCAGGAGAAATTATAATTTATTTGGAAGCACTCGACTATCTAGGTCTCTTAGATTCCAATATGTACATCCAAAGAAACTATATCAGATAATAATAACAGAAATATTATTAACTTAGTATTAACATAGATATAATAGCTATATCCTTCTAAAAACTCGACTAGCTTTTAACCTTATCTGCAATAAAAATATGAGTAGGTATCTTAAGTAGGTAAGTAAGGTAACTTTTGAGTTTTATTTTTTCATTCAGTTTGTTTTTATCATTCAATACATTTTTAACAATTTCTCATAAATTAAAGCCGAAAAACATTGAATGTAATATCTTGTTTTTCTTGTTTATTTTTAACTTGAAATAGTCGACGTGAATTACGATTCTCGAGCATATTGAGAACGTAAAAATCTACAGAGTTCATGCAATTCATGATTATTTATTTGTGCAAACACAGCGCTAATTAAAACTTTGCGAGAGTTCATTTCTGTCATACTTTTTACACTTTAAAATGGTACATGATTAATCCAGCTATAAAACGTTGCAGGTTCAATGCTACATAGGATAAATGCGTTTTGTTAAATAGGTATTTATTTATCCTAGAATAAGACAAAAATAGGACGTTACAATACATATTAGGTACTTCCCAGAACTCTTCACTCCAAACTGGCCGAAAAATCTTTTTAACTTTTATATGAAAAATTATGTAGGGACTACCCACCTAGGTAGGTATGCCATGTTTATAAATTTAAAAAATAAGAAAATCTAAATCTTCAGAACCTCTAGTGACTAAAGTTATTAGATCCTTAGAATATGTAGGTACAGCTCTAATAGATAAGAATTTCCGTTAACAAGAGTACTCTGATGTGACCCACTAACCAACATTTATCCACTTAGTCTGACCTACCACTAGCCTTCAATATTTTCGATCAATTATAATAAATTATTAAGTTTTATGATAGTTTCTCATTATTTTAAACATACATTTCTAATTAATATTATATACCTTGCCTAGGTACTGTACGAAACTTATAATTACTAGTTAGTTCTTAATATAGCCATCATATTTTTACCTTAACGTGACGTGTCCGTAACGTGTCTATATGCGAGGTCAGGAAGGGTTGGATTACGATAAGGAACCAATATTGATTTTAAACCCCAACTGAAGAACTCTTTAAAAATGTACAATAATAGCCGTTTCTGCACTAACAATTATTTTTTTCTTTTCCGGCTGCCGGCCCGATACCCTTGCCACGTTGTCTTTACTAAATTTTAATGTTTTATTGTTTTTGTAGGGGATTATTAGGTTCTCTATTCATATTTATGTAATAATGATAGGGAAAATGAATAAAAGTACTATTTATTATTATAGGTATATAGTATAATATATAGTAAATGTTTTATTTACGAGTAATTGGTTTTTTTTCAGCATACGTGGAATCAAGGTTTTGTGTGAAAATTTACCAAGACGAATGTTATCCACTGTTTTGCAATTCGACAAAAACGTGGAAAATGACATGTCCGTGTCGAGGCGACTTATGTAACGGCCCGAATACGGAACGCGAAGAGGAAGCCTTTGCAATCCTTTATAAGCTAGTAACAAAGACGCAAACTTCACGTATAAAAAAAAGAACACAGTTGAGCCCAGGAAAATTAGTATCATCAAATGACCAAAACACTATTATAATCACAAATATATCAGCTATAGAAAATAATGAGCTTAATGTTTCCTTACACAATGTAACTGACGATGATATAACAAAAATTATGTTAGGCGATCAACCCACAAAAGACGGAGAAAGCGACCAAAGCCTATCATCAACAGAAATTGCATCAACAGCGGATGACATTCAAGAAGAAACTACGAAAAAGACAGAAACAGTCGAAATGAGAGATATCATTCCAGCGGCAGATACAAAAGACGATATAAGGAAAGGTCTAGAAATCTTGAAGACGGATAAACTTATGAATCACCCGGTGAAACCGAGTGAAGAGCTTCCGACTGCAGAAGCCTTGCAACAGAACACAAGCCCCAAAGCAGTTACAGAAAAAACTACAACAGAAGCAGCGACTTCCGAAACAATCATGGACACTACGACCGAGTCTAACACAGATAAAACTACCCACAAATCTGAAACCAAAAATGGTGCAAGCAAACTATTCGAAACTTCTATTATATTCATTAATATAATATCCTTTTATATTCATTTCATACTATCACATATTATCTAGAAAAATTAACGCTTTTGCATAAAAATGATCTCTTTTAGTTTTAATTTAGGTAGAGCAAGTAGAATTGTGATATTCACGTGATATTAGCTTGTTTTAAATTTTCACCTATATTGTATTTAAGATAATAAAATATGTGGAAACAATAAAACAAATTAAAAATTATTTACTAGTTCATTTATTTTGTATTATATATGTCGCAGGTAAATTGTAAAAACCGTGATTTTGTCAATCATCCCTTTTTCTTATCACGGGACAGTTTTAGGTATATTATAATTTCACTAAGCACATTCAGTGATATTGTTAATCAATATTAAAATAAATATGACATATAGATGGTTCCATCTTATCGCAAAACTTACTCATCAATCAAAAGTGAAATCATAATGTTGTGGCAGTTTCCTATTACTTTCTTTAGTTTCCAAACTTTTAGAACCTTGAGCCATTGCTTCTCTCATATTTGAACTAAATGGTTTTTCTAATCTTGTATGTTTGGGGGTTGGCCCATAGTAATCGTAAGTCGGTGGTGGCGCTATTTCTGCATGTTCTACATTAAATTTTCTTTTTTCTGGCACACATCTTATACTCTCCTCTTCGTCACTCAATTCATTAGCTATTGGAGTTGCTTCTTGGGACTTAACAAAATTTTTATATTTAACAACTTTTTCCGTCTTTTTAGTTGTGAAATATAAACCTTTTTGCGTATCATCACTTAAATCTCCTATAGTTGGAGGCGGGGGAGTTTTAGGGCGTCTTACATCTGACCATGTTTTATTTTGATTTTCCTTATTTAATTCTATTTTATTGCCTCGTAAATCAAAGTTAAATTTAGATCTATCACTCTCATTTGTTTTTGGTGGAGCAAATTCATCTATTCTTTTAGCTCTCTGCTGTTCCACGTATTCTTCTTGAGTCATTTCTTTGAACTTTTTCACTTTGTCTTGAACACCATCTTTACCAACGTCCCAATCACGAATGTAAGCGTCACGTAGTTTTTGTCTCTCTTTTTCTTTTTCCTCTTTCTGTCTTTGCTCTTCTTCTTTTGCTTTCTTGTCAGCTTCATTTTTCTGTTGATTTAAGAATTCTAAAAGGCATGTAGTAAAATCTTTTTTCTTTTCTGCAATATAAAAATGTTACAATTAATGTTTGTGATACTTAGACATTTCACAGTTAAGACCGTAAATAAATTTTAGTTCCACAAAATATGTAAATAAAAAATCAGACTGTCAAAATAAAGTAATTTAATTCATATCTCCACTAATATTACAAAGAGGTACAAATTGTAATTAGGGGATATCTGAAAGAAAAATCCGATTTTTAAAATTCTTTCAATATAGTACATATTTTCGTTATAGCTTATGCTGCGGGTTACACTTGTCAGCATCACATGATTTGGGAAGAGTCGATAAAGATTTTCATGGTAAAACTCAAAGAAAATATTTTAAAATATCGTTACCAACATACCAACCATGTTTAACTAACAATTCAAAGTAAACATTCTCTTGAGATCCAATATTGGATAAAGAAGATAGACAAGTAAATTATGGCTGCAACAGTTGGTTTCCTAATACGCATGGTATATTTATTACTCAATCACGCCAGAAAGGCTAAACAGATCTAGATCAAATTTGGCAGATATAGATTATAGTCTGGAATAGCATTTTGGTTACTTTTTATTCCGGAAAAGTGCATGGTTCCCGTGGGATATATTTGTTTTCACTAGGGACGAACTAGAGAGTGAGTTGCTAATTAGACATAAAAAAAGCTGAATAAACATTCTTTTACTCTCAAAGTCCGAAGGGACATAAATGCTGTATGTACATATATAAGGTTGTACAAACCTTCAGGGTCCTCAGGCGGCAGGCCGGCCCTGGCGCGCTGGCGGGCGCGCGCCGCGGCAACCCTGGCCGCTACCAACTCGTCCCTCTTCTTCCTAATCTCCTCAGCCTGCTGCTGCGCTTGCAGCGTCTCCTGTCGTCTCTTTATAAGCTCTTCCATTTGCTTTTTACGTTCATTTTCATCGGTACTGAATGAATAGTACCCAACGCCATGAATTCTTGCCTCTATAAAAAATTAGAGCTGTTTGTAGTTGTAAAAATCTTCAACAAAATGAAAAAATTTTTCGATGTTCATTTCATCGATCGATCGATCGAATCGATCATATTTTGTATGTTTTCAATGATTGCTATCATAACAATTATTGGACTGTAATATATACTTGTTTACTGCATTGGAAATTAATGCACTTGCATTTTACATTTAACCTAACTTCAAGAATGTTTGATGATAAGTTTTTTAGAATGTATAGTAAAAGATTGTATCTAAAATAAAATGTAAATATATAATTAATACGACCTACTACGCCTAGTGTTAGGGGTTCGAATCCCATACTACTGGTAGTCATCTGATTAGTACATTATTATAATTTTCTTGAACGGACGGACATAATTATATAATTATTTACAAAATATAGTATAAAAGATTTTGACTTAAAAATTATATCATTTTAAAAACTACGTACATAAAAAGGAACTAATTCACATTGCAAAAATTGCATTCTATAAAATAAAAATAAATCATTAAAATAGTAGACTTTAAGAACACTAAAAATCTACTAACTATCGACGTGGATCTTCATGACATAGTAATATAAAAAAAATAATTAGGTATGTCCTCCTAATCGAATTCGACGCCCAATCTCACTGATAATTATCCATCTGAAATTGCCTCGGTGATGTAGTGACTAGCATGTACGACTGCACACCCGGAGGTTCTGGGTTCGAGTCCCGGGTCGGGCCAAGTTTAGTTGTCGAGTCCTTTTGTTAAGGAAGTCACAGTAACGGCCCGGAATAGGGAATTTGGTGGTGTTTCACCCCTGTGCTTTGGAGAGCACGTGTCGCGTCGGTCTTGCGCCTTAACTCTCACCACGAGTGTCGAGTAATCGTACCACCGGAGAATGAGAGTGATAGGAATTGAGAGTGCACGTTGTGTCTGCGCGTACACGCGCTGCACTATAATATCTCGGGCGCATTTGGCTAGTCTAGATAAGATTAATCGCCGTGGCCAAAATCGGTCCAAACGACATTAATATTATCCATCTGCGAAGGAGATATTATAGTGGAGCGCGTGTGCGTCAGACACAAGTGCACTCTATTCCTTCAACGATGACCATTCCACACTCGCAGTGAGAGTACACTAGCTACAATTACATACCATCGAATAGTAAATCTTGATAATGTACATCTTTGTCCTTCGCTAATAGTTCTCTTTCTTTTTCTTCCCATTTTTCACGTAACGACTGTAGGTAGTCATTAGTTTTTTGAACCAAAAGTGGTTTCTGTGACTCAGTTTTTGGGCATTCCTGAAAAAAGTTATCCCCCATATAGTAGTAAGAAGTCGTCGTGCGCATAAAGACCTAATTCTCTCTGATCTCACAGCAAGCAAAGCTTATTACACAAACACTCAATTTTTTTCACTTATGCTTTAACATGTTTGCTGTATAGAAAGTAAATACTTTCTATGTAAAATAAGAGTAAGATTTATCTTATCATCTATACTAATATTATAAAGAGGTAAAGTTTGTGAGTTTGTGATGTTGTAGGGGGTAATCTCTGGATCTACTGAACCAATTTAGATGAAATTTGGTAAGAAGATAGTTCGAGAGCCCGAGAAGGACATAGAATACTTTTTATTCTGGTAAACTTCCTTAAGAGGATGAAAATGGGGATGAAAGCTTATATTGGCAACTGGGAAGCAAACTATTTTATATTTATGTATATATTGGGCAATGCCTGAATGTAATTTTTTTTGTGTATCTCGAAAACAGTTCTCAAGTTTTGAATTATTTTTTTTATTTAGATAATGTTTTGCTTTTAAAGTTTATCTATTTATGTAGGGTATTTATTTTAAAAAGTGCAAATTTTCACAAAACAAAAAAAACTTTTTTTATATGAAACTATTTTTCTATCTGCTCTCATGCTGACAATGTCATGCAGCACCTTGTCGTAAATATTTGTTGCACTTGCATTCTTGCTAATCTATGATGGTATTGTATGGTATATTTGGGCTGGTTTTCGCAATTCGACGACTTGGCGCCTATTTTGCGTGGGTAATGGATAGATGATAACCTACTGAACGAGCACCTGTGGCGAACGAAGTCCAGTCGTCGTTCAGGTACTATTAAATTAATTTACACACAATAAATCCACATTACTAGTGTTAACTACTACTAACTAATGAATTGATTTGCAAAGTATAAGTTAATTTTTTCTCCTTGCTCCTCCACTTTTCCTTCCAGGATAGGCACAGAGAAAATAATATTACAATTTCGTCCACTTTTCAATTTCACCAGAACAAGATACAATACTTATATGTGACACTACATTTTACCTTAAACAAGCTAGGGCAAATAAACTAGTTTCATAGAATAAATAATTAATATTATTTTTCATTAGTGACACTAAGATATTGTACACCAGTCAAAAATATGATTGGTAATATTTATATGTGTTACTTTAAAAACTTTTAAAGTCTATTTTTTTATAACAAGAAAAACATACTACAATTATTGATTGTTAATTTTAAATATTAGTTTAACTTACAGTATTAACAGACTCTTGACCTCTACTTTCATTAGTTATAACTTTCATGAGTTCTTCATCCCTTTTTTTATATAGCTCCAAATCAGATTTAAGACATTTACGGGTTCTGCCAAGGAAGTCTGTAAACTCAACCCTGCAAATAAATTATTATTGTAAATAAAAAACTTTTAAGACTAAAGTATTCAAAGCTATTAAAATATTGTAGTAAGATGTACACAGGGGTAGAATTATACAAACCTATATACTCATATGTACATGAATCTCCACACAAGAACTGATCAAATATCTCATGTTCGAAAAGAATATTCAGCTCAGACAAATACGCAAGCATAATCAATCTTATATGTATATAACAAAGAGATAAGCTATCTTATTTTTGATATATACTACTTCAAAAAATATTCCATGACATTATTTTTTTCTTATTTCAACAGGTGAATCTAATTTCTAGATGAAGAATGAAATAGGAGGAGTAAGTAAAAAAAAACTTTAGCAATATTACTTATTACTATTTTCAATATCAATTATTATTATTATGTTTTAAATAAAATATTTATAACTTACCAGTCACTCTCATCTTCCTCAAATGGTGCAGTTCCCTTTGAATCTATATATTCAGGTATAGTTTCACTATTAGTAGTTGTTTCTGACTTTTTTTCCTTAAAGTCTACAAGAAAACGGCCAGCTAGTTGTGAATTACCTACCCCATCAGATAAATGCTCATACAATGCAGCTTTCTTTTCTAAAGCTAATCTGCAAAATTATTGTTTAATGTTAAGTGTACTAAAAATTATCAGTAACAAAAATAAATATACTATAACAAATAGACTAACTATAATAAATAGATTAAGAAGTCTTCAAAAAAAGTAATTTCTCTGCAATATAATAAATAGTTAATAAATAGCTTATGAATTACTTAGATTTTCGGCACGCTTCAAATTCCTCAGTATCAATAAGATTTAAACTATCTCTTAAGCTTTTTTTTGCTCTGTGTTCATTCTTATTCTTCTTATCCACAGACTGCTGTGGTGGTTTAAAGTTTTGTATATTATGTTGAGGTAAATGTTTTTTCTCTTCTACTTCTTCTTTTTTTTTGAGCAATTCTGCTTTCAAACTAAGTAACTAAAAAACATAACCCATTAGAAAAAAGTTAAGGGAAAAAAAAACAATAAAATTATAACACTTACTGTTGATTTATTAAAAAGAATTTTCTTGGAACTTTGTTCGTTCATATCTATTTAGTATATTTTATAAGTTGTTTAATTAAACAATACACTGATAATAAGAAAATTCAATTCTTTATTATGTGGCTATTAGGCGTGCATTAAAAAAATTTTACACTTAAAAATTCTAACATTTAAAACGTCAACAAAATTATAAAATACAGATATTTACTATTCTATTTACATTCTACTCTGCGTCACAGCTCTGCGTTGTGAAATATCTCTGAATAAAAAAATTGTAATTTGTGTATTTGACATTTGTCATCTATGAAATATTATGTAATAAGTATGTGTAAAGTCTATACAGTATAAAAAATGTAATGTCAAAATAACAGTTTTGTACTAAATTTGCGATCTTCTCCCGCCAGATGTTGAGATCACTATGGCCCTTGTTATATTGTAAAGCTCATAGAGCATGGACTGATATTTTTTTCAAGTTAAATAACTAATTGTGCAGTGCCTGGATGGCAAGAAAATGGATATCATTTGTCCCCGTAAGACAAAAACTGAAGAAGACATCATTTTGAAGAAAGTGATTTTAAAACTCTTTAATCGTCTACAGGTGAATATTCTTTTTTATTTTTGGTACTTTTTTACGTATTAATTACAGAGTTTTATACAAACATTTATCCCCCATTTTACCCCCTTAGGGGATTGAATTTCGAAAAATGCTAAAACACGTATTTATTTATCTGTATCGAAGATCATTAATACCAAGTTTCAAGTAATTCTGACCATAAAAAGCAGTCATGAGGACTGCCGATAGAAATGAAAACTTAAAACTATAAACAAAGAGTTGTTATTTTTGGATATTCAAATTAATTTTTTGATCTTAAAATAAAATTTGTAAATTAAAACTGTTTACATTTATTTGGTTTTGACATTTATCGGCACTGTGGGTAATAGCGTTAACACGTCACGTGACCATATCGATGATGACTTACATCATACATGAATTTACTCCCCATCCAAACCTGCCTATAGTAGTTTTCACTTCATTAACACTAGTTTACAAAATAAAAAAAATTACGTCCTTCCAGTGAATTTTATATGATTTTATTCAGTTACAATAACTATACGCGAACATAAATGATTTGAACTGTATCACGTCAAAAGCTAAAGTTATCACCACATTTTATTTTCTAGCTACCCACAAGTTGGGCTTAAATTAAATGCAAAATGTTGATGGAGTGTAGTATTTAATTTAGTGAATATTCGGTTTAAAAATGTCAACAAGATTATGTAAAATAAATCCTGACCATTTTTATTACGTTTGTGGTGAACTCATTATATCTAAAAAAGATTATTTTTTAAAATATTTTTGTATTATATATTTTTTGTAAATTAATATAAATAAATATTTTGGAAATGTGACGTTTTGGATTATTTAATTATTTTTTTTAACTCAGTGTACCTTAATTGTTAAGAAAAAATACTTTTCACTTCAAAGACAAAAACTATGTAAAGTATTGTAATTCTTTATCCTATATAAACTTTATTATCCCCTTTTTCCCCTAAAAGGGATGAATTCCGAAAAAAATCGAATAAGTATATTTTTTACTTTAAAGCTGTATCACAATAAATTGCTTAGCCTCAGACTGAATATAAATAGGCCATACATGGCTTTCGAGAAATCTTCCCCATTATCAAGAGTACTAATAAAGAAAACATATATTTTTAAATTTTGTCTGTCTGTCTGTCTGTCTGTCTGTTCCGGCTAATCTCCGAAAAGGCTGGATTGATTTTGACGGGACTTTCACTAGCAGATAGCTGATGTTATAAATTATAATGAATAACTTAGGCTACTTTTATTTTTTTAAAAGAATTAGGGTCTCGCTGAAAAAATTAAAACGCGAATTAGGACGCACCTGAGCTAAGCGAAGGAAGTCACTAGTAATAGTATACTTTTAATTTGTAAAAGAACTTAGATTATCGAGTGTATCTCATTGATATACATTTATTTTATATATATATATATATATATATATATATATATATATATATATATAAAATATAAATTCATTATATATATATGATTGTAACAGTTATTATTAATAATCAATAATTGTTAAGTTGTGTACAATATTAAATATAGGTAATTTTCAACAGACAATATAATTCCTAAACTTATAGAGATACCATCGACAATGCTGTAATTATTTTTATTATTCATCTATGGCATTAATAAAGGCAACTGTATGAAACAAATGACACAATTTTTAAGTGACATCTTTGCATCGTAGTGATCTCAGTGGTTTTTTTGCTAATTTCATGGTCATCCTGACAACCCTTTCATTGGTGGTGACGACGTCTTATTTTGCAAACAAAGAAATAAACGCTAGCTAAGCTCACATGAAAATATATTAAAGGAACAGAGTTCATGAAATCCACCCCATTGTCTAGTATAACCAATTGTGCGTACAGTGAACTGAGTGTGTGAAACAAAATGTCAACTCCTGCCAGAAGACGTCTGATGAGAGATTTTAAACGGTTCGTAAAATTCGCCTACATAACAAATATATTTGTTAAAATTTAAATTCTTATTACAAAGTGTAATAGTCATGATTCATCAAATTACATCACCATCTCCTTCATCGATTTCTATTCTGTTCTACATAATTCTTAAGAACAACAAATACATTTTTTTTTACCTTTCATGCGAAAACAGATCGCGCTATAAGTAGAAATAGGCAATACTACGTCACTTTCTTACTAGACTTTAGTATGATTCTATAAATAAAGTATTTTTTGACTCTGGCACACAAGTCCCATTTTACTGCAATTTTTTAAATAAAAATTCTTATTTTTTTTGTGTACAGCTTACAAGAGGATCCACCTACTGGTGTTTCTGGAGCACCCACTGATAACAATATCATGATCTGGAATGCTGTGATATTTGGACCTCATGATACTCCATTTGAAGATGGTACCTTCAAACTAACTATTGAATTTACAGAAGAATACCCTAATAAACCACCTACAGTACGATTTGTTTCAAAAATGTTTCACCCAAATGTATATGCAGATGGTGGAATTTGTTTAGATATTTTACAAAACAGATGGAGTCCAACATATGATGTCTCAGCAATTTTAACTTCAATACAGGTAACAAAACAATGCATTGTTATATTCCTTTGTGCAGCCTTGTTCTATGTATATCACACACAAATTTATAAAATACTTAAATTATTTTTATTTTCAGTCATTATTAAGTGACCCTAATCCAAATTCACCCGCAAATTCAATGGCTGCACAGCTATATAAGGAGAACCGGCGAGAATATGAAAAACGGGTCAAAGCATGTGTTGAACAGTCTTTTATTGATTAGCAGGGGACAAAGATTTCAAGCAATATGTTGTTTGAGAAATCTCCGATGGTATTGGTCAACACCTTTTCACACTCATTGGGACATGTGTGTAAATTGTAATTATTTAATCATATATTACAGCTACATTAGACTCTGGCGGTCAAAATATACAAAATTATAATTAAAAGCAATTTCCAAACCATTTATCACTGGTAGAACAATAAGATTATAAATATTAACCAATATTTAATATATTAATTGACATCTTAGGAATGTGCATTGCATACCATTAATTAACAATAGGATAGTAGAATCTTTAAAACATTATTTAATATAATGTCATTTGTTTTTGTTCTTGTATTCAAATAAATTGTTTCATTTTTTAAGTGTTAATCTAAACTTTAGCAGCACTCATTGCCAAATTTTATTATTTAAAGTATATAAAAAATATAAATATAGATTACTACCAATTTTAAACAATTCACCTACTTACATAATATAAACATTGCTTTATCATATTTTTTTCACAACATTGATAATTAAATATATAAATTGTTTTTATGTAATATTGATAACCTGTAACTAAAGTTAATAAATTTTTTTGAAAGAAAGAATAATTTATTTAAATTTCAGCAATGATAACTTATTTATTTTACATCACTTTTTTTTTAACTAAATTATGGTATATTGTTGCTTTTTATTAGAATGAGAATAGCAGCATTTGCAAATGTGATTAAATTGTCCCAATGAAAGATTTCTGAAACTGTTGAAACAAGTATCTTACCTTCGAATGAAGTGAAATTTAATATGGTCTGAAGTTTCAACAGTTTATGTAGGTGTGTGTACAATGTTTGTCTTCTAGTAAATATTATTTTTGGTTTCAGATGTGTTTTAATTAAAACTATTCACTAATACAGAGAACGAAACATGCAAATATTAATTATCTTTTACAATTGGGTGCTACCACTTATCATGTGGATAATAAAATAGGATTCTAATTAAAATTTAGACCACAAGTTTATAAAATTTCAAGTATGATTTAAATTAGAATACTCCTGAAGCTCATACTTAGCAAATATATCTATAAAGAGTGGTACAGGATTTAAAATAAACAAAATATATCATAAAATATTTTATACAAAAGAGCTTACACTTTCATATATAAGAATTATTGTGAACAATTTATTGCTATAAAATAAATAAAGTTCATATTAATGGTAAATCTTAAATTACAATAAAGGCAATTCAAGCCTTATACCCTTTTACATATTATAAAGATTTGATTCCAGTCTATGAATGCTTTTGTTTTGTTATAGCTTAGGGCATTCTTTAAAACATATTCCATAAGACAAATCCACATGTCTCACAATATGCCTAAATTTCTTTGCGCTAATTTTAGTTGAATATGAAACTTATAAATTGATTGATTGATACATTTATAAAATATAATTCTTGCCAATATCACATTTTGTGTATCTAATCATGACATATAAATCACCTATTAGAAATATCAATTACCATCACCTCATTTTTAAGTCTTCTTTAACTTTGTACAGAATTAGCTCCATACACACAGTGGCATCTTCAGCACTGTCATGTCCATCTACAGAATTTTGAATAATTTTTTTTAAATATTCTGATGAAAGATTTCTAAGAGCTCTCTTATAAGGTGGACCCATTTTATGAGGAAACAAAACACTTGTATCTACAACTGTGTCATGAATAAGTTTCAATGCTTTAAAATCAGATTCTAAACTATGGCCTATTAAAATTGTTTTGCTATTAAACATAGTAAGTAATGTTGCTTGTACTTCTAGCAAAGTAGTTTTCACTTCTGACATTTGTTCTTCTGTAATACCTGAATATCTTGTATTGTAATCAATAATTGGATGTAGAGGTTTAATAAGAGTCTCATAAACTACTTTACAAGCAGAATTAATTACAGTAATTCTAGTTAAGTCTAACCCATGTGTTGTGTAACACATTTCACAATCTAATGAATATACACCATAATCATCCATAATGGTGTCAGGAGGTAAAGTTTTAACATACCCTTTTAAATTTTCATAATCAACATATTCATATACATGGCTTGATGCTATACAACAACCATCTGATGTGCCATCTTGACTACAACATTGGTATCGAACTTCACCTCGTACTCTATATTTGTTATTCGGATGATATATACATTCTTCTTTGATAGCTGCAAATCCTTTTTTATCTACAGTATAATCTTTTTTACATCTACAGCATGTTCTTATAAATCCCTTTGGTGGACTTTTCTTATTTTGCCCATGTATAATAGCCCTTCCCTTTTCCCCACTGCCATGTGGCCTAGGAAAACCGTTTTCCGTTAACTGATCTTCAGTTAATATCCATTTTTTTATATTATTATATAAATTAGAACCAGTAAATTGCTTCATATCCTCATAATTTCTTCTATTTTTATTTTCTATGCTCCATGATCCAGTAGAAGCTGTATTTTTTTGAACACTTTGTGGGGTATTTTGAGCACTGGACTCATTTCCTGCCTTTTTTACTCCATTACATTCCTGTAGTTCTTTCTTTAATCTACTTATTGTAAGAACAGCAGAATTTTTATAAATTTGCACAGTTGAACATTTTTTACTTGTTGCTAATTCTTCATGTTGAGCTCTGGCATAGGCATCGGTAGGTAAAAGATAAATATTTAAGCAATGATCAATCATCATATTTAAGTAAGTAGATCTAATATTTGCTGGAATTTTTGAACCCAATGGTTCTAATACACCTGGTCTATCTATGAATTTTTCATTGGGAATATGCGCTACCCTCTGGACACCCTTCTTAACAGTTTGCATAATGGTGCTACTAGTGGACGGATCAGCATCTGAAGGAGCATTCTTAGGGGCAATACCTTTTTTTGCTGACAATAATGTTGATGCATATGGAACATGAGCAATACGAATTTTAGAGTTAGTGTTACTAGGGGGTGTACCAAAAATCGTTTTATTAAGTTCTGGCTTTAAAATATTAGTAGAAATAACAGCATCCGAAGAAGTTTTAGAAGCATGAAATTCTCTAACTTTAGCTAGTCTCTCAGCCATGGCTTGTGCTGCATTCACTTTGAAATCAGGTTTAATAGGAGCTTTAGGTATAACTTTTATATTCTTATCAATTGTTCTTGATATCCTTTTTTTACTAGGTATTATATATTCTTCATTATCTGGCTCCTTTTCCGATTTATCAATATCATCTTTCTGTTGTGATTTCTGTACAGGAACATATTCTTCAAAAATTCTTTTACATTCTTCAGCAATGGCATCCTCATCTGATTCAGATAATTCATTAAGCTCATCTTCATAGTCATGATTATCATCATCATCAGATATGATCTTTGTTTTTTCTTTTTCACTTTGCCTTTTATGATTATCCCTTTTATCTTTTGATTCTTTAGAATGATTGTGTTTTTTGTGATGGCTGCTATCATTATGTCTAACTTCATGTTTCGCTTTTTTGTCATATTTCAAATGCTTTGTTGAACTACTAGAATGTTTAGAACTTTTATCAGTATTTTTATCTCTTGAATGAGATTTCTTGTCTGATTTATCTTTCCTGTCTGATTTACTTCTATCTTTACTAGAACTTTTATGCCTGGGTTTTTTATCAGAACTTGAGTTTCTATCTTTACTTCCCTTCTCATCTATTTTTTCTTTGGATTTTTCTTTAGATTTTTTATCTTCTTTTTTATCTGACCTTTCTTTATTTGATTTACTGTTGCTGGATTGGTTAGTTTTAGGCCTGTTCTTGTATGCTGTACTTATTTTGTTCTTCTTATCTTTTGCACTTTCTTTGCTTTCTTTAGAACTTTTTTGTGTAACGTTTTTAACATCTTTGTTATTTTTTTCTTCATCAAGAATTTGATCTAATATGTCAAACTCAGGTCCTAGGTCATCTAACCCATTAAGATCATTTGAAATTCTTATCTTTTTAGTATCTGGTTCATCCTCGTCACTTGAAAAACAAGGGACTAGTGACTTTGGTGTTGGCTGGTATTTTAGTGATGGCACTTGAGGTGTAAGTTTTACTGGCTTATATTCTAATACTTTTTTTTTATTTACATTTTTGTCAGTGGGAACATAATTTAGTTTAGAACTTTGTGTTTCATTAGGAGTGTATTCTGGTATTGTAGTCTCTGAACCAGGTAAGTATTTTTCATTGGATTCTGTTGCACCTTTTGGAGAATATGGATCAAGTTGTACTGTTTCCGACCCTGGAGTATATTTAACAGGTAGTGTATACGTAAATAATTTTGATCCGTTAGTATCTACGGGCCTTTTGATAGGTATACTGGCTGGTTTTCGTGGAGTGTAGGGTACTGGTATATGTCTTTTTTTTTGTTCATTTATATCCTCATTATTTTCTAAATCTGTATTATTTATTTTATTGAGTTCTGATATCGGCGTCGGGTTGTAAGTAGCTTTAGAGGCTGCTGGTTGTAAGTCGTCTTTTTCAGAAATATTTACTTGCGTTGATGAAGTAGGACCTGTTTCTGTTTGCTGTAAAACTTTCTGAACGGCAGCTGACACTAATTTTTGAAGGATTTCTCCACTTTCAATACCATCGGAACAAATGTTTTGGGGTTCTTTTTTAACATGACGAAAATGACAATAGGGCCGTTCACACAGACCACTATCGTAAAAAGGACAATTGATTGCTTTAAAATAACCTGTAGAAGGTAGCATATCAAACTTGAACTTTAATTTAATTCAAGAGTAAACTACTGCTTATCGTCTAGCCACTTCCAAAAACATACCCATAAAATATAAATTTGATTTTGATTATTAAGCCAGGCACAGAGTACTACAATTCCAAGTAATGTCGGATAACCATAGTCAAAACAATATTTTTTTTGTAATATTAATCAAATTTGTACTGGCAAAGGAAACAGCACGTAATGCCAAACATACAATATGCAGTAGGTATTTTAAATAAAATATTTTAGGAACTTAGAAATATTTTGCTTAAATTATTTTTATTTTCTCATGGAATTTATTATAATACTCAAATATACATTTATTCTTATACCTTTGCAACACGGTTTATATATTAGATTCTAATTAAAATATCGACGATAATTGGGGCAAATAAAAATAGACACCTTTAAAACAGGTTTTTCGTTTTGAGAACTCTCAACTCTTTAATATTCATCCTTTTCGGTTCTCTCATAATATTATTCAAAAGTGAAACATCACAAGGACTGCTTGAAGCCTATTGTATTTGACAGTATAGCAGAATATGGAATAAATTATGTCATGGCTAAATTTATTGCAAAACTTCCATTACACAAGATGAAGACTTCGCAAACTAATTTAACGTTAGAACTTAGTTTATTAACATGGAGATTTTTGTAAAGCTTATAAACTTGTGCCCGTTTACGTTTCATGGGTTGTCAAAATTCGTGACAGATGTGTTTGATAAGATAGCGAGTTGCTTAGAGTATTTATATCCTGATTTCGGTGTATAAATTTTAAATATGTTGAAAGAAGTTGTAAACGATTATGCAGACTATTTTAAATTAGACCTGGCGAATGGATTTCAAACAGTGCAAGATGTTATCGACAACATGATTACTAGACTTGAGGAACTAACTAGTGTTTTACAAATGATCAAACTAAAAAACAATGACTGCAGTACTATTGTTACCGAAGATATTTGTCGATATAGAAATGAAGTAACAATACTGTCAAAAAAAATTATAACCTTAAGTGAAGTTATTACAAAGTTACAAAGCAATATTGAAATTCTAGAAAAACAAGTTGGAAAAGCTGAAGCTGATTTCGGAGTACAAACAGACAATAAACTCAAAAGCTTTCTCAAACCTTTCCTTAAGAAAAGAGACATTAATCCTAATAATGGATCGTTAATACCACATGAGAAAATAGTATTTTCTAGTGTGTTAGATAACTTTGAGGGAAACAATACATAGTACATTTTTAAAATAATTAAATAATTGTTTTTATTAAAAATTGTTTATTGATCACCTTAATTATAGAACTAATTACAAACTTAAAGATATTTTATTGAACTCCAGTTGATCCAAATCCTCCATCTGCCCTTTTAGTTTCAGATAAATTAGTAGCTTCTACAATTTCAGGATAAAAAATTTTTTCACATATAAGTTGTGCAATTCTATCACCTTTTTTGACGGCAAATTGTTCATCAGAATGGTTGAATAATACTACTCCAACATTTCCCCTATAGTCTTCATCTATAACACCAGCTGTAAATTTTGATACACATTTCGTTAATGATAAACTACCAGGTAAGTTTAAGAGCACTTATAATAATTGATATTATTAATATATTTTATTTTTTTAGTAAATGATTTTTATATATCTCTTATCCTATAGTTGTTAAGATAAGTTATATACACTTTTATGTAATAACTAGTGACTCTCCCTCACTTTGCTAGGGTTTGTCCCTAGGTGATTATTTAAATTTATGCAACTTTTTTATTTATGAACTGATTGAAATAAAACAAATACTAAATGTTAAGTGAAGTATACCAAAATACATTAGTGAGAACCGCACCCAAATTGGTTAAGCAATTTCTGAGATTATGAGCACAAACACACAGATAAAAATTCTAAAAATCCTTGTTTTGGGTTCTTTTGTGTTAATAACGACCTCCAATAATAATTTTTCTCAAAAATCTTCCATGTACAGACAGCAATCAATTACAATTTTATTATATGTATAGATATAAAAATTATATTGAATTCTTGGTCTTGTGGTATTTAAAAGTATTAATGTTTCATAACAGTATTGAGTATTAGAATATAAACTTGACCCTAATAGTGCAAAAGATTTATTCATCTTACCCCCAACATCTATGAAGTTTTTGACAGCTAATCCAGATCTTGGTGCGACTCTTCCATAACATCCAGAGGGTAATTCAATTTGTAAGTCAGTTTTAATTAACTCTTTTCCACGAGGTGGAACAACATAATCATAGGCACTAAAAATACGAAACACATGAAATGTCTGTCCTTTTGGAGTTGACTATATAAAATGTGCTTAGCTCCACTTTTAGTAAGTTTTAATGAATATAAAATGCAAGAAGTATTTATACATACCTTTTTAAGTCAAATCCAGCTGCTTTTTCAGAAGCTTTAGTAGGAGAAAATGCATTTTGAGTAAGGCGTGAAAATTTAAGGACTGCTTGTGACATGGTGAATTTTTAGATAATAATAATATTAAAACAATAAATTATAATTATGAAATAGCCAAGGTACAGCACAGGAAGCAAGTAACAAGGAACTTGAAACGTTAACAAATGAAATATTATTATTTATTCACACTTCACAGAAATACTACGAATACCGAGACTCGAGATTGTTAATTGTTAAATCATGTAAAAAGTGAGAAATTGGCGCCAAAATCCAAATGCGTTGCACAGACTATAGCTTATTGCTTAAAGCCCAGCATACATGAGTCCAACCTTCCATCGGATTTTGTCCGCTAGAAACATCCTGTTTTCCAATTAGAGCACCACAGCGTATTATACGACATAATGCTAACTCCGAATTTTCAACTACAGCAACGCTCCGCTCAATCGAGCACTTTGAAAAGTACTGCTTTGGCGTGATGCGTGCAAAGATACCAACTCAGCAGAAAATTAGCAATTAGCAGAAAATTTATGAAGTGTTTCTTCTTCAAGGTGGCAATTATCAAAATTTTATTAACAATTATCGTTAGTAATATTGTTTATTGTTAAACTAATTTGTAAAGCTTTCGACGACGATTAAAATATAAAAAAGTTAGGCTCAACTGTACAATCTATGACATCGATTTGAAACTTCATATTTTTTTCACTAATAGATTTCTCTATTAGAAGCCTATATATATAAAGTTTGAGACCGCGGAAACAAATAGTTTTGTCGAAAATAAAATTTCAATTTTCAACTTTTTATATAATTTTACCGCATTTATACACGCAATTATCGATATTTTTCACAAAGTTCGTTACAATATTTTTACTTATAATTTTTATTCGACGACACGTTTGGCTCAGTTGGTAGTGACCTACCCTACCCTACTTGCTGTTCCAGCGATCGCTGGTTCGAGTCCCGCTGGGGGCATTCATTTGTGTGATGAGCACGGATGTTTATTCTCCAGTCATGGGTGTTTATATTTATAATATGTATGTATTTAAAGTTATATATATGTAGTGTATCAACTATCTGGTATCCATAACACAAGCCTCGTAGCTTACCATGGAACTAGATGGTGCTGTGTGTTAATGTCCCAACATTTATTTATTTATTTATAATATTCTATGTTCTGAGTTATTTTCAATCATTATTGTAGTGAATATATAATTTTATAGTTAAAATCTTGATTTATTTGTACGTAATAACAAATATAAATTATACATAGTATATATATTGGTTATGTGATATGTCAATGTCAGAATTAGCTAATGAAACGCTTTTCATTCGCTATATTTCATTCGCCAATTTGAAATGTCAGTTTTAGTGTCAGTTGCAATTGTTTTTTATTTCGACGCAGGAAAGCTTTATCAAAAGAATTTTAGGTTATTTCTTGGCAGAAACCTTTCTTTCTAGGTTGGTGAGGTTAGGTTAGAACAGTGACCACAATCACACACAGAGAGAAAAACAGAGGCCAAAACGACTAGCACTTTTAGAACTTTTTTCATAATCCGTAGCTACTTTTTCCAGTACCTACTATTATACATGCAAAAGTTGTCTTAGAACTGTCACCAATTGTGTTTAGGTAATTATTCTAGTTGAAATGTAAAACAATGTAAATTGAACCTTAAGTGCAAAGATTAAGGTTGTTTTCACAATAATTTAACCTCAAAAATTGAAATTTTGAAAATTAAATATCTCGAAAACTACTGGCCTCCGCGGGTTTTCTTTTTAAAGAGGAGTCCCTCTTACCCATTCCATCCACCTCCACCCTCTCTCCTCCCTTAAATCAATGTCATAGATTGTACAGTTCAACCAAAAGTTAATTCATACTGTGTTCAAAAACAAATAAAAGTATGTATGAAGCTTCAACCCTATTTAAAAACTTCAATAGGATCCCATCAAAAGCGACAAAAGCCACATAGAAACCAATAAATATTTATTGGTTTATATTTATATAAATATTTTTTTATTTATCTATAGGTGTTTTTCAACAGGGAAGGTGACATTAATCAAAATTTATTTTACATTGTCTTAAGTAATATTTGTTTATATTTTATTTTTATTATTCCATATTTATTATTATACACATGAAAACTAATTCAAGTTCCCATAAAGCATTAGCAAAATTTCGGCATTGTGCGCCAAAGTGCGGCATTATGCTCTGTAGTTGGAAAACAGGGATAATCAATTTATACGATTACAATTTTAAATACACCAAAATAAAATGATATAAGTTGATAGCTTATTCCCTCAACGACCGCGGTCACGGCCCCATAGGAATCGGGTTTACTACTAAGGCATGCCAATAGATGTTTGATGTTTCACATCAGAAAAAATTGGCAAGTCAGAAATACTGTTTTTTAAGAATATTATTTTGGTGCAAAAAATTACATGACAGATCTTATCAAGCAAGTAGAATTGCCCGCGGCTCCGCCCGCGTTCAGATGACCAAAAACCAAATTCTTAGGTTTTACATATTAGTATACTCTTACATTGCAGTTTTTGTATTTTTTTCTCAGAAATGAGATGTTTTTCCGCGGTAAAAAGTATTCTATATGATGACCCGGATAATCAGCTATCACCATACCAAATTTCATCAAAATCCCTCCAGTGGTTTTTCTGTGATGCGGTAACAGACAGACAGGCAAATATTCTAAAAACTATAGATTCGGCCTGTTTATCGATAATAATGATTAATTCAATAAGATTTTGTAAAAAAATATTTAATGTACAGATTTGACTCAGAATTTTATTATATCTATAGATAACCTATCAACTATTTATATTTGATAGCAACAGCTTTTATTATTACTAAACATCACTGCATAAGCCACAGCGCGGATCCAGGGGGGGAGGGTCATGGGGGTCATGACCCCCCCCCCAAAGCCAAATATATTACTTTTTAGAGAAGTTTGAAGTCTAAGAAAGGAAGGAATAAACGGATAAACATTTCGATTTAAAAAAATGGTTATTATATGTATTTTGAAGAATATATTCCCCTGGTTTCATGAATATCAAAAAGTTTTTGCTGAAATCTATATACATATAATAAAATTGTAACTAAGTCGAATCTGTACATTAAACATTTTTTGGAAAATCGAATTGAAATAGACATTATTATCGATACAGAGTCCGAATCTATAGTTTTAGAATTTTTATCTGTCTGTCTGTTACCGCATCACGAGAAAACCACTGGACAGATTTTAATGAAATTTGGTATGATGGTAGCTGGTTATCTGGGTCAACATATAAGGTACTTTTTACCGCGGGAAAATATCTCTTCTCTTAGAAATCTATATTAAACGTTCAAACGTAAATACTAAGTAGGGACGAACCCGAGCGGAGCGAAGATGAGTCGCTAGTTAAAATTAAATTAAGCTTTTTCTTTTCTCACGAATATCATGTGACCTATAGCTCCATATGGAGTGTAAATAATCTAAGTCTGGCTCAACTAAAGTCTGACTTAATAGGTGCACAGCAGTGCCCCCGTTAATTGCTAGTCAAACAAGAGACTGATACAACTGTTTCACCCTTTTCTTGAAGCAACTTAAGACACTCATAGGTCTCTTCTTTAAGTTTCCTTATATTTAAATACTCACTGGAAGCTAACTGATATACGCACCTAAAACTTGGAAATTATTTGGTGTTTATATCATAAAGAAAGGAAAAAGTAACATAATATCTTAAAAATTCCACTCTGTTTTATTTGTGGTCGGTGAACTCATTTCCCATAGGCTATAAGACCTACGTGGTCCAAAATATTTTTTTTCCTTCCTAACGAATATAAATGGGAATAAAAAATAGGGTACCTACGTATATATTACAGTCATATGAATTCGAATACAATATATTATACTCGTATATTTATATACATAAATCTAAATTACCAATATCGTATAGGTATAACGAGTATATTATGGGTTATATCGATGTATTATCCCTGCAAAGTAAAGGAGGAGAACTACTTGCAAAACGAAGTGAGATAAACATAACGAAAATAATAAAATTATGAAAAAGTAATTAAATTTATACCTTCCTCATATCTATGCGTAATGCAGTAAATTACTGGAAAACAATCAATTATAAGAAAATTACAGCCTTGCTCTACCATGTACATAGAGCAAAATCTCACGACTTTTTACGAGAATCTTTGCCGGGTGCGAAGCTTAACAAACTTTTTCTTTTTATGTTTTTGATGAGATCTTATGACTTATCTTATTCTTGTAGTCTAAAAAATGAGAATAATTTAGGTAAAATAATCATGCGTAATGCGTATATCTTTAATAAAAAAAAGTTTACTTATATCACTTCATAAATAATTATATTGTACTAGTGATTCAACCTCGCTTTGGTTATAGATGCCATTCGCATTTCTAGGTAATAGATGTCAATGCTTTCCTAGTTGCCATTCGTAGATAATAATATAATAATAGGGAAGCTCAGAAACGACTTTTTCAGACTTTTTTCACAAATTTCATACCGTTAGCTTATTTTCGCAATGTTTCTAAATTATAGCCTATGTCTCTCCCACCCTTTCTATCCTAAACCTTTCTACTCGTAGAAAATACTCTTTTTATTACTGAAAACCGTATGAAAATCCGGGCCGTATTAAGTTTTCGAGATTAGCGTGTTTGAGTGTATTCGTTACACTAAGTCAGCGCGACGGCAAACTTTGATTTATAATATAACTAGGGATATTATAAGGTGGTCCCCATATTTTTATTTATCATCGCAATGACTACTAAGTACATATAAGTTGCACGTAATATTTATTTGTTTTGTAATGCTCTCGATAAAATTTAGATATTTCAATACTATTTTTTAGTCTTCAAAAAAGGAAGAGGTTTTCATTTCGAGTATTATATGCTTTTTATGATTATAACGTTATTGGATGGTTTATACCTCAAGGAATACGATTAGGATGATGCAGAACCACTCATAATAAATAAAAAATATATTATATTTATCTATTTTTATATATTTTATATTCACAATCTTTTAAAAGTAACGTGTGAATCATCAATTTTTTACCTACTCTAGCAAGCGAAACCCAAAATAACACAAAAAATTTCTACCTGCGCTTTGAAGTTCTGTCTTATATTGGTTATATTTGGGCACAATACGGATAGCAAGCGGCTGATCTATAGCGATAATCCTACCTCCTAATATCGGTCTCAGTGAAAAATGTCCACAGACGATGGGAGTCGCGTCGATCAATATTTTGTTAACAACTACACGGAAGTAAAGTTCATAATTCGATACCGCTTAAATTTAAATCCTAGACTGCAAGTTTATAAAGTAAAACAGTTAAGTGCTCGGGTTTCCACAAGTTTTTGGTCTAAAAATTTCTACTCTACATAGAAAAACTCTTTTAAGTTACTGTGATTCATCCGGGTGAGCCCCTAGAAGGGGAGTTTGTCCATTTTTATATTTACACCGTGTCCCTTGCGGCATGCGCGCCGCCTCGCTGCCAGTCTCGCTACTACAGTTTCACGCACGAACACCAGTGCAACGAAAGTGATGTAAATATTACTCCTACCACAATATTTACACGCGAATTGTTGTTTACTATATGAATTCAACATTAAATTATAAAGTGTATGTGTTTTAAGTGAAAAAGTTGTTAACTTTAAGTGAGAAATAACGAAAATTGTGACCAAAACTGTTTCGCTTCGATCGAAATCAAATCTGACGAGGACATGCTGCCGTTTCTCTATGTACCTATTTCAGGAAGTGTTTCAGCAAAGAACTTTTTGTTCTCATAACTCACGCTAGAGGTCAGTATCAAAATAAAACAGCGCTATTCACATTAGTTATTATTTTCTTGTAAGATTATATTTGAATCTCTAGAGATGTATATATCTATACATAGTTGCTATGGTTAAAGTACCGATGCTCTTCCCTTTTTGCATCCCTTCTGCGCCCTTTACGCATGATCGACCGGTAGAGTTTAGGGGTACATTGTGAATAGGGTGCGGGTAACTATACAATACGCTTATAAGTATGGATGTTTCATTATATTACGTATTTGGGTATATTAATGAAATAATATTATGTTACGCCTAAATATTTTTTTATACGCTATAAAATTTGTATTTTTTTGGAATATAATTCTTAGTTAAAACAGTATGTTATAATAGAGTAATTCAGCTCTATCGGCTATAATTATTACTTATAATAATACGCGTACATACTTACACGATTTGTAAATATATGTTATTCAAAACATTGAATGCTAATTATTTTCATTATATTTAATAATAAAATTATTTTGCTTTTTGTTTTGTTTTTATGTAAAAACTTATAAGAAATACATTTGTAATTATTTATTTGGAATTAAGTAAATATTCGCAATATTTTACGATTAAAAATTCATTTAAAATATATTAAATATAAATATATCCGTAAAGTAAATAAATATTGTTTCGCTTCCTCAGCGAACACGTTAGGTATGTATAATATTTAAATCCGATTTAATACTAATAGAGTTATTCTAATAAGTAGTACAAAAATAACGTCAAGACAAAAATTGTTATTATTAAACTAAATGCTTCACGGGTAATGTTTCGTAAATCGTTTAATCGGAGCCATCATAAATTATGGCCGTAGAGCAACCGCGCAGGGAGATGAAAACATAACATTTTTATTGATAAAAAACAGCGAAGAGTGAGTGAAGTGACGCGTCTATGCAGATAGTTACCATATAGAGCAAGACGTAGCGAACGACATGTTTGTTTTCATACCGGTCCGAATTAACGTCGCGATTGGTTCAAAATCCATAACTGGCCTCCGAGAGCCAGGTGTCGTTCACACCGCGGCCTCGCGCGCCTCGTCTCGTTAATCACTCGTGTTCGCTATTGTTATAGCGCGTCGCACAGCCATCTTTGTCAAATTACAAGCGATTCATTTCAATAATTCAGTTGTGTTAAACAAATGGAACAAAACATTAGTACTATAACAAATGTGTCGTGCGATAGAAACGAGTGCATTACTACATTCTCTTTTGTTTTATCGCTGACGCTCCGCTGAATGGAAGCGTTACGACGGCTCACGTTAACGATCAGTCTACCATTAAATATGATGGATGATGCCGTCTTTTGCAAAAACTGTGTAAAGTGTTTGTATTAATAAATAATGTGAAGGGTGCAATTCGTGTTTATGTTCAACTGTGCATGTGATGAAAACTGCGTCGTAATTTGTCGTACACATTGTATAAATGAGTGGAATGGCGTTGCGGAGCGCGCGGGCCGGAGCATGCGCGCCAGTTTCCTTGCGACCGCTGGGAACGCACTGAGTGTCCTTCGTTTATGTGCATATCAAAATGGGAAGGTCTAGGTTCCCCGGGAAACCGCTAAAATTCCAGAATAGAAAACGTATCAGTGTCCTATCGGGTGCCGTCTATCATGAAACTACACCAGAGAATCACTCGGCCAGCCGTGGCTCGACTGCCAATGATTTTACTGGGGAGAAAGAGGTAAAGCGCATTCCGCAACGTTTCTGTTAGTAGATGAAAGTTATATAAAGTTAAGAATGTTTTTGAAGATATGTTGTGTTTACGTAATAACTACAAGCGTAAGTGAAGCGCCAAGCGTAATGAAGCGCCAATACAAAACGTATTTTGACATTTTGGTTTTATAGGTACATAGTTTGATGTCAACAAAGACTTTTAGGTTTATGTGATTTCACTAAAGAAATTATATGGAAATTATAGTATAAAAAAGATTTCTTGTACATAACAAGTTTATATTATAGAATTTCCTTCATAACCTAACTTTTAAACAACCAATTATGTATAATAGTGTTTTATGTATAGAGTCACTAAGTATACTATATAAAGAAAATATTTTTTGGCTTGAATAAATTCTATTTAATTTAATATTATTGAAATTATTAAAATTTTTGTTCATGATGCTCACTTTCTAATTGGTTTTGTTTCATATGTTGTGTAAATAACCACAAAGGAAAATTTAAACTTAAAGTTTTACATATCTCTTGAATATTCAAGTATCTTACTAATTATAAATGATATATTTAAATAATAGAATAAGGTGACTTGTCCTTCTTATCTCAATGTCACACACAATATGTATATTAATAAGTTTGACCTTAATAACAACAAAACTCACAATCTATGTGTTGTGCTACATTTTTACATGTACATAGTTTCAAGCAAACTTATATCAATCATAATTGATACCAATATTTTATAGATTGTTGTTGTTTTGTACAATAATTATTTGATTTAACTGTATATCTAAATGTTTCAGGAAGAAGAGAAGAAGGAGAATAATAGTGAGAATGAAGCAAACATAGCCATTGAAAATAAAGTAACCAATAGTATTGTTAAAAATAAACAAGATAACTTGGATAACACTACTACTGATTCCTCTAAATCACCTGTACGGACAAGATCACAAATTAAAATGGATATTCCTAAAAATGACAAACCTAAACCAGCAAAGAAAACAGTGACATTTGGTACAGTAGAAAGTTGTGAAGACATATTCTTGCCACTTAAAAAGGTCCCAATCAAACATCATGCACCATTGGTTTCTATAATTAAAAAGAAATCCTCTCTTAAGCAAACTGAATATTCAACATTTAATAGCATTCTCAAACCTGCAAAGTTAACTGACTTGAGTTCTAAATCATCTTTAGAGCACCAAGAAGGATATTTAAGAAGGAATCTGAATCCCCTCTCCAAATCTACAAATAAATTCTCTCAATTTAGTGACACAAGAAGTACATCGCCACCACCAAGAAATGTATCACCAATAGATAAAGATAGTAGCAACAGTACAAAATTTGTGTTGCCAACAAGAAGTAGTCATTCATCAAGGGTGATTAAACCCAATAAAAAATTTATTGATGGTGATGAACAGACAATAGTTTCAAGTAGCCTGTCATCAGGTAAAGTCCTTAAAAAACCAAAATTAAAAAGACTTGTCTTTAACAACTTACATGATGACGAAGATAGTCTGGAAGAAGAAGAGTCAGAGAAACCTAATGATACTGAAAAGACTAAAGATAAGCCCATACTACAATCCAGTCTTTTTAAAGATAAAACATCAACTACCTCCTTTTCTAATCTGACTAATACCAGTTCCAGAAAAGTGGTGCGAGATTTCTTTTCATATGAAAAAGAACAAGAATACTCTCAAGATGAAAATTCTAATGTTGAAAGTTTAGAAAAGATTAAATCACCAGAGCCAAATAAGGAAGATAGGTCTGGACATGCTATGAGAAAGCTTATGGATATTTCTGATGCAAGTAGTTCAACCAGTAGTAGTGGTTCTGAATCTGAGGAGAGCTGGGAAAGTGAAAGTTTAGAGGGGAGCGGTGAAGAAGGTGATAGACAGCCTCCTGCTAGCCCTGAAAAGGATAAAACATCAGCGTCTCAGTTACTTAGCGGGAAAGTGATTATTAGAGAGGCCAGATTACAACTGACTACTCCAGCACCATCTACAACAGGTCTTGATGGACCATTTTCGGCTCTAACAACAGTTTCTTGTAAGTTATATAAATGTTGTACATGGCTTTACACATTATTTCATATTTTATTGATATTTGTCAATAATAAAAATTTATAAAAAATATTTATGAATAAGCTTATTAATTATAAAATTTAAATTAATATTATTTTAAAAAAATAAGACTTATTTAAGCATTCTATATATATATATATAGTTATAATCAGGTTCTGCCATTACACGATATCAAATAAAATAAGGCAGAAATTATTAAGTTTTTCTTTAATACAAATATGGACTTTAATTTAGAAGTCTCATTAAAAATTTCTGAACCTAATTTAAATTGTTTATTTTTTTTAGCTAATAATCCTCCTGCAACAGTTACATGTGGGGTGTGTGGTGCAGTGCGGTTTTATAGATTTGTTCGTCAGGCTCGAAAATTTGGCATCTATTCTTGTGAATCCTGTCGCAAGTTTATTTCAAAATTACTAAAGAAAGACAAAATGGTTTTACGAACCCAGCCTGTGATTACTCACTGTGTAAGAGGGGAAGGTAAGGAAATGTGCAATACATTTTTTTTTATATATTTCAATAAAAGTTGAATCTTATAAATTGGTAATGTTTATAATGCTTTTTTTAGGAAATTGTCATGTACCACCTGTAGTCAGATCACAACAATGGAAATTACTGAAGTGTACTAATAAATCTCGATGTCCTGCATGTTGGTTAAAGCTGTGTTTAAAGGCTTTCCAAGTGCCACCACATATAAGGGCTACTCTAACTGCAATGTTGCCATCTTATATGAGAAGTGGGTCTAAACCCTCTGGAACTTTAGCTCAAACTCATCCTCTGAGGATAGGTTCGAGCAATACTTCTACTACTCAGTCAACATTCAGTTCATTAGTTCCTGAAAGTGATAACAACATTTTTGCTATAAAAACTACAAAGAAACCTGAAGAAGTTGAAAAAATTGAAGTAAGGAACTTTTTCTTAAATTTTTTCCTAAATTTCTAAATATCTATCTAATCTGTAAAGTCAATTTCTAATTTTATTTATTCACGAATTTTTCTCTTAAATTACAAATCATTCTAATTTTTTTTAATGTATAGGACAAGGATATAAAACAACAAAAAGATCAAGTAAATGATGAGCCTAATGAGGAATTCGGCAGTAGTAGAAAACGTCGTATAACACGAATTAAAGTGCGAAAGAAAGATAAGGGTGAATCTAAGCATGCAGAAGATCCGAAACGCCAGAAAATGGAACTTAAAGGGCCTAGGGTCAAGCATGTGTGCAGAAGTGCATCTATTGTACTTGGTCAGCCAATTGCAACATTCCCGACTCAAGAGGAGAAAGAAAAAGACAAAGCACTGCACTCTGATGATGATACTGCTTTGCCTATTGATGAAAAAGATAGAGTCACTCCAGATATGTCCAGCTGCGATTCTGAGTTTGATACTGAAAATAAGCCTTTGCAAATAGTCCCAGAAGCTAATATGAAGGATAGTGACCAAGAAATCCAAGCAGAATCCAAAAAGCGAAAGATAGATGCAATAATTGTGGCTAAGCCTCAAAATAAAAATGATTCAAGTGAAGATGAAACTATTATGGATTTGGTTCCTAAGAAGACAACACTAAAACCACTGACAAATATTACTAATGTATGTATCTTTTAATAATTAACATTTTCTTTTCCAATTTAAAATATTATCGTATTTACATTTGTAATACGTTTTTATTTCAGGTGCGCGGCCGTGCTCAAAAATGTGGTCAGAATCGCCCTGAATTGATTTGTGTCGATTTTTGGGAAAGTTATGATCCAGATGAAGTCTGCAACTCTGGTTTTGGTCTTATTGGCACTATTCCTTTTACCTTGGCAAAACTATGCTTTTTATGTGGAAGTGCAGGCAGGGAGAAGGTATATTATATATATTTTTTATTATATAAGTATAAAAAAGGGGAAAACTGAAAATATATTTACTTACTAGTAGATGTTTTAATAATAACTAGTGATTCCCCAGTGGTCGAAATTCGATCATAAACATAATTGAAAATTTGACGAAAAAAATATATGAATAGAATTTTCCTATAGATATATAAAGATAACTGTTTCATTTATTCATAACACTAAAAACGCCAATAGCTACTAAATTAAGAGAAAAAAGAAAAGAAAATAAGTTGACAAACAGATGAGAAAAAGCTACTGATTGTTTTCTTTGTCTATTATTTTAATATATTTCACCCACTTAAGAGATGTCCGGGATGAAAAGTCCTATGTGCTTCCCAGGGTCTCAAACTATCTTTTTATTTTTTTTTTATTTTGTTATTATTATTTTATTTTTTATTTTCTTACTAAATTCCATCTACATCGGTTCAGTAGATCCAGAGATTCGCCCTACAACGTCACAAACTCACAACCCTTACCTCTTTATAATATTAGTATAGATTTTGTGAATTATGATATGATTGATTCCATACTGTATAAAATAATATAATTAAACATACCATGAACAATTCCAGATGCTAGTGTGCGGCAGTTGCTGCGAGTGGTACCACGTGTGGTGCGCGGAGGAGGCGGGCGGCGGCGGTGAGTGGACGTGCGCGCGCTGCGTGTGGTGCGCGGCGTGCGCGCGCCCCGCCGCGCGCCTGCGCTGCCGCACGTGCGCGCGCCCGCACCATGCCGCCTGCCTGCCCGCCGCGCCGCCCGACCACCGGAGTGACTGGCCACAGGTGAATATCAATATTTTTAATTTAAATCATACTTAATATTATAAATGTGAAAGTGTGTTTGTTTGCTTGTCCTTCTGTCACGTCGAAATAGAGTTTTCACTGCACTGTAGGTATAGTTGGAGAATTGGAGAGTGATATAGGCTACTTTTTGCAACACTTACTACTTTAGGGGTACACTATAATTTCTACTGGGCTTTGACTTCTTATAATGAATGAATGAATTACTATTTATTGTATACCCAAAAAGAGAAAAAGAAAATATACATCATTTAGAAGAAGGCACAAGATCATCAGATCAGGCAGCCTTATCGCTAAAAGAGCGATTTCTTCCAGGCAACCCTTAGGTGTGTAGGAAATAGTACTAAGATAGAAGGGGCGCGAATAACAAATAAAGAGACACTAGAAAGATTATATATTTGTACATATACATATTATACAAATACATAATATATACAAAATAAATACAAGTAAAATATAATTAACCAATACCTAAATACTATAACTACATACATAAATATAAAATATAAATTATACTAAAGTTCATAAAGATAACAATAATAAATACATACTAATAACAATACATTCAATAAATAATCTTCTTTAAAGTGTATGAAAGTGGTGTGGTGGTGGTCTTATATTAAAGTTATTATGATTTTTGACACTAGAAACATTTTTATTGGAATAAAAAATAGACTAGAGCTCTTGATAGTAATGTAGTACCCTATTAGTGAAAGAATTTTTCAAATCAGATCAGTAGTTTCAGAGTAATTTCTTAAACTATTGATCCAATTTTAAAAATTCTCATCCCCTCCTACATACAAACTTTACTTATAATATATAGATATAATAAATAAAAGTGTGTATATAATTAAAGAGAAATCTTAAAGTTAAATACTACATTTATATGTAATAATCAAAATTGGTTTTGCAGATTTGAATGTAATTGCTATTTTTACTCAGATAGTAAACCAAAATATAGCTAAACCTCATATTTATTCATAGAGAAAATTTCTTATCAGAAAATCCCAATAACTGCCTAAATGAGCATTGCTTTATAATATTATCCAGTATAATTATCGTTAATTTACAGATTTGCTCTTCGTGCCTCAAATGCAAGAGTTGTGATAGCAACCGCGTAAACAAATTTGTTGGCAGCTTACCATTTTGCCGACCCTGCTTTAAACTTCGACAAAAAGGAAACTATTGCCCTCTCTGTCAGGCGTGTTATAGAGACAATGATTTTGATAGTAAGGTATGTATCTTAAAAAAAATTTTCAAATGATCTTTTGCATTTTTAAAATAATTAATTGATGGCTACAGAAAATTATTCCCAAAAGAATTTTTAAATATTTACAAATATTCAGTTTCCACCATTGCATTTGTGTGTTAACAAACCTGAAAAATGAAATGTACATAATAAATATGACACAAAGATAAAATCCCTTAACAATAATTCTCTTCAACTACGGTAGTAGTAGTAGTAGTTTATATATTTTTTTTGTTTATTAAGTGATTTGTTTTTAATGTCTATTATTAATGGACTATATAATTTTTTTGCAGATGATGGAATGTGGATGGTGCGGGAGGTGGGTCCATGCTAGCTGCGAAGGGTTATCTGGAGAAGGTTACCAATTGTTATCAGCTTTACCACCGTCTATTGAATATATTTGCTGCAAGTGTATGCCTGATGATCCTCCGTGGAGAAAAATGATAACTGAACATCTAAAAGGCAGACTTCTACATCTACTAAAACTACTTGCAAAAAATAAAAAAGCTTGCGCATTACTTAAGTTAACACCACACAAGAATACACCTGTGCCTAATAAGCCATTCCGATTAATGTCACCTCAGGCAATACGAAAACTTCATTTTGATAATAATGATGAAGCCATGAAAAATACAACTGAAACTAAAGTCTACAGAAATACTGCGAGAGGTCGGCGAAATAACAACTCTGTTCAAAACAAATTTGATGATCCCAATAATTCTCAAATATGGCATTGTTCATCTTTATTGTCTGATGTAGAAATGGAAAAGGAAGAAATACCTCATACCTCTCACAAGGTTGTAAATCTTCAAGAGCCATTGATGCAAAATAAAGAGATATGTTTTTCAACTGGTCTTTATAACAACAAGACAGATTTTAATGCTCCTTGTGTAGAGGTTCATGAAAACTACCCTCCACAGACTAAAGCAGAGAAAGCAACTACCATGTTGCCAATGACTATACATGATGAAAAATATGAACCTATATCGGATGACGATGAACCAATAAAAACATTCCCCCAAGCCCGAAGTGAACAAGATCTTAGTCCAGCCATAATAAGGCAACCTAATTTGTCACTTGAGGACAGTCTTGAAGACTTAAATCGACTTATCTCACCATCACTTCTTGATATAAAGAAAAGAGTGAACAGTGATGAGTATATTTCACTTAAAGATTTTAACCATGACATGAAAGATGTTATCGAAAGAATATCAAGCATTGATCTTAAAACTATATATAAAGATCTATTCTCAGAGACATTTCCCTGGTTTGATTGCGAGAATAATTGCCTACAACCTAATTTGGAAGTTGAAGGTGAACAAGAAGACTCAGATTCTGTCAAAGATTTGGAAATGGCCGACACCAAAGGTATAAAAACTACAACGCATGTGGAAAAGCCTCATGATCAAATAGTACCAAAACTTGAATCTGAAGGTGAAAAGGAAGAAGAAGAATTGCTTGAATTTTATCCCATGGTCGATTCTAGAATTTGCGTTCTTTGCAAAACTACGGGCGATGGACTACCATCTATGGAAGGCCGACTGCTTTATTGTGGTCAAAATGATTGGATTCACGCTAACTGTGCTTTATGGTCTGCAGAAGTTTTTGAAGAAATCGATGGATCACTGCAAAATGTTCATTCAGCAATATCTAGAGGAAAGATGATTAAATGCGCAGAATGTGAAGTTAAAGGCGCGAGTGTCGGATGTTGTGCCAAAAATTGTAGCGAAACATATCATTATGCCTGCGCGCGTAAAGCTACTTGCGCATTTATGGATGACAAAAGAGTCTTCTGCCCGACTCATGGAAAGGATGTTCCCAAAAAGAGCTTGCAAAAGGATGCAGACTTTGAATTAACAAGGCCGGTATATGTAGAGCTTGATAAGAAAAAGAAACGATACAGTGAAATTAACAAGGTCCAATTTCTTATGGGCTCTTTGACTGTGCATAGTCTTGGGAAGATTGTGCCCTCTGTTTCCGACTATGACGAATTTTTGATGCCTGTAGATTTTTCTTGTAGTCGGCTATTTTGGTCCTGTAAAAAACCATCAAAAATTGTCAGATATACAATAAAAACAAAGTTAATATTAGCCGAGCCAATGCCTGGATTCGATTTCGGCGTAAATATCACTGTAGATCACACCATGGATGTACAAGTGGTAGAGCGAGTAATGGCTGAAATCGGGGCCTGGCATGAAAGCATAGAAACCGGATCTAGTAAGACTGTCCTCATGTTTAAAAATGATAAATCACCAATCAAATTTGGAAATACTGTAACATTGGAAGATTTAGCTGTTAAACAAGTTGTTGAACATCTCCTTGACAATGTTTGCAAACAAGAACAGCAAGATGAAGAAGAGCCTCAAAATACAGCTGATCTTCTTCCTCCAGAAGTAAAAGATGCAATATTCGAGGATTTAAATCACGACTTATTAGATGGCATATCCATGCAAGACATATTTCCTAAATTAATGTCTTATGAAGATCTAGTTGCAATGGACTTAAAAAATGAGTTTATTGGAGCTATAAGCCAGTCTGATGATAAATCAGATTCACGTTCCAGTGATTTTATTGATGAACTTTTTAATGCTCGTTTGGAATCAGGGAATAAAGAATTGAAGAGAAGTAAATCAGAGATGTTGTTACAAAATCATAATCTAAAGTCATTAACAACTGGCAGAGGACAACAACGGTCAACGAGTTTGACTTGGAATAATAAATTTGACACCAGCTTACTGTCATCTACTATAAAAAGGTGTAAAATGGGAAAATCATCAACAATTACTGGAAAATTAAGTCCAATTCAGAGATTGACTGAAAATTCTTTGGAGTCAATAAAAGAGATTGAGAGGACCAGTACAGATAAGAAATCGAAATTGGAGACAACTACTAGCAATGATGTTTGTAATGAAGCACCTCACACATCGGGTCTTAATTATTGTACAACTTCGCCTAAACAGAAGGAAGAGTCGAATGCAGAAAATAAAAATGATAAAACTGAAGGATATTATCCCGACGTCATAGATTTCTACACGAAAATACATTGTAGCCCGATTTCGCAATTAGATGGTGCTGCCGATTGGTCAGGATCCGAAAGCAACTGCAGTTCACGTCCTAGTAGCCCTCAAGATGACTTTACTCCCATTCAACAGCTAGATGGAGCAGAAGATAGTCATCCAGGAAATGATAATGGACTAAAAAACCAAACGAACCAATTTCTATACAGAGCGAGTGGAACAGAGAGTACTTATACAGTAACTATTGCAGGAAATTCTATAAGTGGACAGCCGGAATTAGTGATGCGACCTCTAGATGAGAGTTCCACTGTTCCAGGACAAATGGAGCAGCTAGTAAGATGTGACCGATGCCAATGCACGTATAGAAATAAGGAATCTTATGATAGACATATGCCATCTTGCGATATGATGTCTACTAGTGAAAGTGAAAGCGAGAATCCTAAATCTCCTGAGAATAGGACATTAACAACTCTTCAAAATGCTTTCCAGGGAGCTTTTGCGCAGCCAATGATAATACATGCAGGAGTTGTCAGTGGCACTGAGAACACAGTGAAAGCGGAAGGTATATCTGCCAGGAGAACGTCGATTAATACACGGCAAATTACAATAAATGGCACAATAGTAGAAACGCCTTCGCCGGGACCAACTAACGAAATGACAATGACAATTACGGAACAAATGAAGTCGGGTACCGTAATATTTGATCAGAGTAAAACTACAAACGTGCAAGTGTCTGCAAATCAACAAGTTTTATCGTCACCGCAAATCGTTGTAACACCGCAGATGCTGCTCCCTCCTAAGACTAGTTCGGCGGCGGGACAGAAGATAATGGGTCCTCAAATAATCACGCAACCTGGGTTAATACCGTATAATATTTGCGTGAAACCAGGAAATGGAAATGCTAATATACAACAAATTCAAGGAAATGATATGACTCAACTGCTATCTGGTTCAGGTGGGATACAAGTGTTGACGTCTAATTCTAATCAGGTATTGACAATTCCTTCCAATCAAGGTATTACATCTATGATTCAAGGCAAAAATCAAGTTGCGAATTTCCCCAATATGGCAAGTGCATCTTCCATCGCACTGCCGGTAAATTCGATACAAGGTATGCCAAATACGTCAATCATTCAAAATATTCAACCAATGATTCGACCGCAAATTCAAGGAAACCCTACAATTGTCGTGCCTGCAATGACTGCTCAACGACTTTCCTCGCCTAATTCTCAAAACAAACAGCAAATTATACTTCCTAATACACCGCAAAAGTCGCCAAAGAAACAACCAGCGCCTGTTCATCCAAAGCCTATATTTCAAGCTACTAATAGAGGCAGGGGAAGGCCGATGCCTAAGCCAACGACAATAAAGAGACATACTAAGTTAGAAAAGACATTCACAACAATTAATCAGTCTCCTCTTGGACATGGAAATACTGTTATACAATTACAAACTAACAACCAAACTGGCCAGCCGTCTATCATAGTACAACCAGTAGCTAACCAAAATATTATGTCAGCTTATGTAGAAGCTTTATCACAACAGCAGAATCAAAATATGCAATATATTGCAACTATTGCTCCTCAAGGGGATTTTAAAACCGGACCGACACAGTTTATTTCTCAAAGCGGCCTCGTACCACAAACATTCCAAATACAACAAACCGAATCTGGCGGTTTAGTGGCAGTACCTAGTGGAGGCATACCCGTGCTACTGCCACAAGGCAACGTCGGAATTTTACCCCAAGCGTTACAACAAGGCGCTACGATATTACCTCAAGGAACTATTCAAACTCAGGGAATAATTTCACAAGGTCCTAATGGGCCCACTATTCTGCCACAAGCGATACATACTCAAAATGGCACAACTATAATACCACAAGGAACTATTCAAGGTCTAACACCTGGTAACATAACATCTCAAACGGCAACTGTCGTCCCACAGAGTGGAATTGGTAATGGACAAACTACCATTATACCTAATGCACTACAATCTCAAGGTAATACTTTGATATCCTCTGCGCCAGGAACAACTATACTACCTCAAGGAACTATATTGCCACAATTTTGTAATGATCAGGTATTGTTAGGTTCCACACCTACCTTAGAAATGGTTACTGATCCATCAGGTTGTATGTATTTGACAACCACGCAACCAGTATACTATGGCTTAGAAACAATAGTACAAAATACCGTAATGTCATCACAGCAATTCGTCTCTACAGCAATGCAAGGCGTGCTCGCGCAAAATAGTAGTTTCTCAGCAACAACGACGCAAGTGTTCCAAGCGAGTAAAATAGAGCCAATCGTTGAAGTACCTACCGGTTATGTTGTAGTTAATAATGTAGGTGAAGCCGTAGCCGTTTCATCATCACCTAACGTGGTAACAGCACAGTCAGTACAATCATCCCCTGTTCTGAAGAATATCAAGACCTCAGTTCCAAATTTGACATTGCAACCACTACCAGATAAATTAGGCAATAATAACCGTCAAACTCCTAAAGTTATACAAATGAGTCCCTCTCCACTGACGGTCGGATCTCAAGCTGGTAATATCATAACTGCAAAACCTAATATAAATCCAATAACATCTCAGATTCATACTATGACATTGTCAAATACATCTCAAAATATTCAAAGAGTGAATATGTCTAAACCGAATAACGTTTCGATGTCCCCAAATGTTACTCTCATATCATCAACAGGACAGCCAGTAATGGCCATTTCACAATCAATTCCTAATACAGCTAATTCATTCACAATGCAATCGCTTCCTCTGTCACAACCTATTGTCTCAAGCTCAATAGCACCATCGAATAAAAATGGGTCAATGAAGATTGAGAACTCGCACGTAATTGAAATTAGTGGTAATCTACACGAAAGTCCGAATTCCTCTAGCTTACCTACTATTAGTGTAACGCAAAGTATGAAGTCACCGACTCCGTGGAGACTACCTGAAAACAAGGCGGATTTACATAATATGGGGATGAAGACTAATGCTACGCAAAATTCTTCCATTCAAAATAGTATGATTACTGGAAGACAAATTTCGCATAATGAACCTGGAAAAGATAACCAAAGTTGTCTCTTATCTATGAATACGGGAAATTCAATGACAAGTAATATGCACTCTCAACAGTTCGAGTCAAACATAAACGCTAGTCATCACTCTGCACATTCTACTTCTAACAATGTCATACAAATAACTGCTGGAAATATATATACACCTTCATCATCTATGAATAGCAATTTTGATGCAGATACAACATTAAAACTCAGTAAAATTAATGCTCTTTCAAAGACAGAGGGAGGACATCTTAACTTCTCGCAGGAAATAATGGCATCACACTCACAACAACATGCTCAAAATGATAAAAGCTTCCAAAATATGGGACCAAGTGATAATAAACAAAATAATGATAACATGCAAAATCAAATAAACATACATAAGTTGAGCAGTTGCCAAGTTGCGGGAAACATGAATAATTCTCCCTCAATTAGTATTATCCCACCGAATATGATACGTCCACAAATGCAAAATAATCAAAATTCTATAAATATGCCTAACAATCAGAATCAAATGTGCTCCATTTCTAACAGTTCTTCACATGGTCAAATACAACTTATGAATTCTGTGAACACGTCGATGCAAAATATTAATATGTCATGCCATGAGATAATAAATAATCGGGTAAATATGTCAGTTACAAGTGAAAACAATCAACAACATGATATGGTTAATACATCTATAAGTACACCAAACATGACACATGGTAACATGCAAATGATGTCTCATGACAATAGTCAACTTTCATCTTCTAATCAAATTCACATTATGAATGGACAGATTCAACATAACCGGCATATTGATAATAGCAACCAAATGCAGCAAATAAATCAGGGAACTTCCAACAGACAATTCCATGATAATCTTATTAACGGCCAACAAAGTCATAATCAAAACAATATGCTTTCGAATAGAAGTACCCCAGATAATAGCAATATAATGAATCAAAATATGAATTTGCACAACATGAATAATCATTCAATGAATCGAGGTGATCTTAGCGATTTGAACCACATGCATGTTAATCAATCTTTGTCTAACATGAGTAACATGCAAAATAATAGAATGATTATGGATAATATGCAATCACATACAATGAATAGTAGCAATCATCAAATTCACTCAAATAATCGATCTATGGAATCTTTACATAATCAGCAAATGCACTCTATGCAACAAATGAATCATCATATGTCTGCTAATAATAATCGTTCTCAAATGGATAATAATATGCATATGAATCAACAAATGTCAATACAACAAAATAGGCAAATGGACAATGTTGTTCACCATCATCAACATCAAATGTCAAATATAATGCAGTTACAGAATAATCGTCAGCATATTGACAATAACTTATTGGGTATGCATCAACATGTATCGAATCAGATGCATAACCGGCAGCAAATGGATAACACTATGCATATGCACCATATGACTAGTAATAACGTCAATATGGGTCTCGGAAATCAGATAGACAATTCAGGCGTCATGTCGAACATCCACAGTAATAGACACGATAATAATTCTATGGGAATGCAAAATTTAAGCTCTATGAACCAAATGCAAAGTAATAGAAATTCGTTAGAGCATAATAATCTCATGCAACATCAAATGAATAATATGAATTCGATGAACAGTATGAATATGCATAATAATTTAAATAACTCCATGCAAATGACAAATCCTAGTCATCAATCTATAAGTAATCCTATTATGCATATGCCTAATATCCCTGATATTAAAAATGAAATTCAAAATTCATGCAGTGGAAGCTGTTCAAATACCAGTAATCAGTTTAATAACAATCAATCATTTGAAATGTGTACAAATATGAATTCCAATAATAATATGAACTTGAGTAACGCTTCAAACCTTATGCATGGTATAAACATGAATAACAGTAATATGTCGAATAATATGATGATGAATAACGTAAGTAATAATTCAATTTACGGAGGAAATAACCAAAATAATATCCCAGGACATGATATTTTAATGAGTTGTAATAATTCAGGAGATCATAATGTAACAAATATTATGTCAAGCAATACAACTCACATGATGATCAACAACTCACAGTCTCATACAAACAGTAATCAGAATCAGATTTTAAGCAGTCAAGTCCCAAATAATTCTCAAATAAATATAAATAGTTGTAGCTTAAACGCTAATAGTTCAAGCCAATCACAGATGACTAACATGGATAACCAACTCAATAGAACTAACATGACTGTAAATGATCAGAATAAATTTGTACAAGAATCAGTAAGAAGCAAGAATGTAATGGGACCACCAGCTACACCTAATATCACCAATATACCAAGTGCCGATTGTGCGAAAGCTAATATTGTGGGTAATAATGAACAAAAACAGAATCACACAATTTCAGTTAGTAATCAAATAGGATTTATGCAAATGAATTCACAAAACAATAATAGGGTGATCAATCTTCCTGAAAGAAATAGGCTAAATAATACGAATATCGATAATAATATGAGTCAACACATGTCGCAACAACATAATATACGTGTTGTAACAAATAATAGCAATAATAATGTTCCCGGTATTCCTAGTGATTCTTTAACATATCAACAGAAAAGCGAAAGCAGTACAATGATCAATGTTCCTTTCCAAGCAATACCTAACAGTGCACCGATGAATATAAATGTCAATTCTAGTAATAACACTGTAAACATAACAGTACAAAATAACTTAGTTGATCCCAAGATCGCTTCCAAAGCAGCTGCTGACTTAAACTTTCCTCTACAAACAAGCTCAAATCTAATACAAAATCAAAATAATGCTAATAATATGATCTGTATACCAGTGCAAAATAGCACAATAAACTTACCAACCCAAAATAGTTCCAGTATAACTCTTCCTAAAGCACCACCTACTCAACAGTCTGGTATACCAACTAATGTTGTTAACCCAATGTCAATGCGGCCAATGAATAGAGTCTTGCCTTTACATAGGGATGGCCAGAGTAAGGCATCAAAGACAACAGGCACTAAGACACCTACAGCACCTAAACATAGGCCAGTAAGTCATGATATGCCAGATTTAAATGTAAAAGAAGAAACCGTTGACAGCGATCTTGAGAAGGCGATCGAAGAATCTAAAAGAATGATGGAATTAGAGAAAGCAAAAAGAGAGAAAGAGGAACGAGATTCAGCACGGGCTATACAATTATCAAATGAATTGCAACAACCAAATACGAGCTCCGCATCGTCTTCAATTCCTGCGGTTCGTAACACCGAACCCATTGAAAGTATTCCCAAGATGACATCACTACCTAGTTTAGATATAATACCAGAAACACCAAAAGTGTTAATTGAGAAAGATACTAATAAGGCACCTGTGACCGCAAAGTTAGCAACTACAACTACCAGAGTTTTAAAACGACCTCTCGTAGAGAAAAAATCTGATACAGAAACAGTGGTCATGAAAAAACAAAATAAAGTACTAAAAGGCCAAGAGAATAGATTATCACAGCCTAAACCTGCTCCTGAACCCCCAAAAGATGATGGGCCAAAGCTCATATACGAAGTGTCTTCAGATGACGGATTTAACTATTCTTCATCATCTTTAACTGATCTTTGGGCTAAGGTGATAGAGTCGGTTCAGAACGCAAGGAAACAATCTGGATTACCGCTTATTCAATACAATTTGCCATCTGCTTTATCTGGAGCTCACTTATTAGGTCTTAATAATAATGCCTTAAGATATCTTATTGAACAATTACCAGGCGTAAGTATAATTTTTTAAAATGTGTGTTTTTTTTTGTTTTTCTTTTCTAAACTTTGTATATTTTTAGGCAAACCGGTGCTCAAAATATAAAATACGTCAAGGACGCCCACTTAATAGTTGGGATAATGATTTGGACTTAAGTGAGGGTTTTAAAGAGAGCCCTTGGGGAAGTGCACGGACAGGACCTATCGCTAGAAAACAAAATCACGATATGTTTAGCTGGATGGCTTCTCCTTTCAGAGAAGAACCACCACCGTTCGGCGGTCAAGAAGGAGAAAGTTCTATATCAAGGTAATCATTTATGCCAATAACGGTTAATGCTGTAAAAATGCACTGAATCAATTGAATTAATTTTATTAAGGCACGGATTTAATTTTATATATTGTGTTTTCCAGGCGTTTAGCAACACTACCCCCGGCGATGAGATTCAGACAGTTAAAAGAAACTTCAAAAGTGTCTGTCGGCGTCTATCGATCACATATTCATGGACGTGGCTTATTCTGTAAACGAGATATTGAAGAAGGTACTGCAATATTATATTATTTCTTCCTGTCATCCACTTTTATATGAAAATTATAAACTAATGCATAATTTCTATTTATTCCAGGTGATATGGTAATAGAATATGCCGGCGAAGTAATACGCGCCGTTTTAGCGGACCAGCGAGAGAAGAAATACGAGGCGATGAGTGGAAGACGCGGCGTGGGCGGTTGCTACATGTTCCGCATTGACGACAACCTGGTGGTCGATGCCACGCTTAAAGGAAACGCTGCAAGATTTATCAATCATTCTTGCGACGTAAGTTACAATGTGCAAAACATTTAAACGTATTGTGAAACAATGAACCACTTTTCTTGTTATAATCGTTATATTGACAGTAATTAATAAAAACACAACAAAAATCGTCAATCAATATATCCGTCGTCATACTTTTCCTGCCTGCCTGGCACCTGCATAGACGAACACCACAGAGGTTGTATGAAGGCATACTTGATGTCTTCGAGTAATTATAGCGGCGCGTAACAGTATATTTATTCATATTGTGTCAGTTTCTTAAAATAACAAAGTTTATGCCTACTTTACTCACTTTAGCATAGGAAATATTATAAATTTTAAATTAAATAGAAAACGGACATATTAAGATATTATGACATATTCAGCTACTTTTGTGTTTTTGTAATGTTTGGTGTTTTCTAAATTGACTGAATGTTTTATATTCCTTACAGCCTAACTGCTACTCCCGCGTCGTTGATATCCACGGCCACAAACACATACTCATATTTGCTCTGCGCCGTATCACTGTCGGTGAAGAACTCACTTACGACTACAAATTCCCATTCGAAGAAGTCAAGATACCCTGCACGTGTGGCGCCAAGAAGTGTCGCAAATACTTAAATTGAACAGCACCCATATAGGAATTTGATGGTGTCAATTATACTGGTGGCAAAGTGTAGTGTGCTAAGTGATCTAGTGTGACGTACATGTTGAGGACTTATCACACAAACTACTAATTAGTGTTGCGGTCCAAGGCGATGACGCGGACGCTGCAAAGTTTCGGCATAATTACTGTGTAGCTTAATTATAAGTACATACTTGATTTAGCCATAATTTTAGAAACAGTAGTATGTTAAGAGTTGATGGAGGAACGTTACAAACGAATGTCTTGTTCTAAATTTCATTTGGAATTTATGGTATGCTTAAGGTGTGGAATGAAATACTGGGTCGAGCACAATTTTTTTATATGTACATATGTAAGACAAGTCAAATTCACATATCGCATTATTCCCACCTCTTATCTTGACATTAATGCCACTAGATCTATCGACACGGAAGTTTTCATGAATCTTGTTATGATCTCTTTTTGAATCTACCCAGTGTTTAAATTGTTGGATTGTATATTACATTGGTTTTACATTAAATATTGCTTATTTTGTGATAGGTTTTTATACATTGTGTAAATATTTTTTAAGTTGTATCGTTTTATGAAGTAGATTGGTCGAGTCCAACGGATAAGTGTAAACAACCCGTTTATACTTGATTTGATGTGATATGCATTAGCCCAAACCGGGTAAATGAATGGTTAGTGGTAGTATATTTGTTCCTCATTTGTTCTTATTTTCTTCACTTGTGATCAGTTAAGTCTCGACTAACGTAGCGTGTACATAGTTGACGGAAGGTTAGATGTTAAATAACGACATAAGTACATTCGAATGAAGGGTTGTTATGAGTAAGTTACAAGTACAATGTTACTTTTTTTTAATAATTTTAATGATTGTATAGAGAATTTGTAAATAAGAGGAATTATCTGTCATAATAATGTGGTTAAGCGACAAATCGTTTTATTTTAGTCATAGTGGTAGGACATACTTTATAAAATATAACATACTTTGTAAATAATAAGTTATTCGGTGTGAGGGTCGGCTCGGGCGCAACTCGCGACAACAACGCGCTCTTAACTCCCAGCCTGGAACGGTTTATTATGAAAATGCACATTTTTAGCTTTAATATTTTTCAGCACAGCTTGAGTTTAAAATTTATTTTTTATTAGAACACCATTTTATAAATATTTTGTTTTTGTGTGTTAACAATAAATAAATTAGAATTTAAAACATCACATTATCATCACATGAAATAAATTTATGTACCAGTGGTTTACCCAATTTTACAATTTAGTAATACGTCTAGATGCAGGACCGATTTGCGGCAATAGTGTTAGAAAAGAGAAGTCTGCATCAATTAAGCAGTATTAATGTTACTCTATAGGTAAAGCTGATAAAATAACAATATTAATAGTATTACTAATAATCCAGGCATTGTACAGCTGATACTGCACCAGTAATAGTTTCTTATAGCTTGTAAACAGTGCTAAGTATGTAATTCCTTTCTTATTGCAAAATACCAAGCTGCTTTTATTTTGGAAAAATTAATTTCAAGGTGCATACATTTAAGGTAACTTTACTCTGTATTAGTAAATTTTATACGGCCCCTTTTTAATGCTGTGGAATTTCCGTCTGATCTATAGCTTTATCACACTAACAGTTGTACGGTATTGTTAGCAATTTTTATTTTCCAAAAATGTTGAAATTTTTACACTGTTTCACCTTGTTATTTTTGATGCACTATCATTTTAAAACAAACTTGTGGACTAGTCTTTAGGAGTTAAAATTTTTATATAGCCATACCAGCAAGTATATTTTCATTAGGTAATTGTACTACATATTTCAAATCAATCAATAACTTAGTAGAAGTTGTACATCGAGTTACGATAATAAATAACAAAGTACAGGTAATTTTAATGAATATGGATTATAATTAACATCTATTTTTAATATAAGTTTTTTATTGAAATAATATTAAATGAATTAATTTTTTCCTCTTCTGTACCTTCTGTATATATAAAATTATATGTTTAATGATTGACCCATTGTTATTTTCGATTGATTTATTTTTGTAAAAGATTTCAAATGATTTTGAGTTGTGTTGAATGTGAAACCATGCTTTAAATTAAGCGCATGTGCATTTTATTAGTCCTGTATACAAATATAAATTATTACAAAGACCAAATCACTAAGTGATGAATGAATTGATTTCGTTAGGTATTTTAAGTGAAAATGTCAGCTCTTGATATTATTTTTGTGTTAAAAATAATGCTTTTATTTTTAATGTACACATGCCATTTTGCCTAATGTTATTATAAATTATATTATATTGCTTTAAAAGCACCAATTTTACAATGCATAGTTCTATGACCTGTCTATACATTTTATTACTTTATTTATTTCTATCATTATTTTGTATTGTGGTAAATTTTACCAAAAATAAAAATACTAAAATGTGCTTTATTTTTGCGGTTTTATTGTGACTTTTCATGCAGTCACTGATTCCTGACAAATATCAGATATTTTCTACTATAATATTAGAAAAAAACAATGTACAATTGCTATAAAATGTTAAAAAAAATGCAGAAACTGAATTAAAATATTAATTTTATTAGGTTAATTATTATATTTGTAGAGCTAGTGCCCATATATTGACTATACAATACATATATTTATTCTCCCAGCGCACAGTGCATGTTCCATCGGTAGAGATATCCCAAAAGTATGCGGCCGCAGTGTGTAAACCAGAGCCGTTTTTCTGGGTCACCGTCATTCTCACTAAAAATATCCCAAACTATTAAAACCTAGACCGCGGTTGTGTTGTAAAAATATATAAATAAAAATGATTCCTATGTGTTTAAATCCTTTATTTTACATAAATCTAATGTTTCATGATGATGTGTTACCTAGCCAACTGGGACGACTGCTCGACACGACCAGTGACAGTTAAGGCGCAGGACCGACGGGTTTACGTGCTCTTCGAGGCACGGGGGTGAAACACCACCAACTTCCCAACTCCGGGCTGTTACTGAGACTTATTATACAGAAAGACTCAATAACTAAACTTGGCCCGACCCGGGACTCGAACCCAGGATCTCCGAGTGTGCAGCCGTACATGCTAGCCACTACACCACCGAGGCAGTGAAATGATATTTTTATATACCCTATGACACTCATGTTATCAGGACGAATCGAATTACAGGTCAAAAGCATAACCCTTCTTTAGGCTTCGCCGCAGTCGGATATAAAGGAGGTTTGGCACATCTCCATTTTAAGACTTCATAAGCATATATGGACTTATTCTTTTCAACACAACAGTTACATATATGAATTACCATAAGGCAGTGGTAGTACAGTGGTAACGCGCTCGCTTGGGAAACCGAGTAAAGCGAGTTCAAATTCCGGGTCTCGCACCTCTGATATTTTCATGTGGCAATCATTTCCAACATGATTACCACTTGTCTTAACGGTGAACGAAAACATCGTGAGGAAACCTGCATGTCTGAGAACCTAGCAAGTTTTCAAAAGACATGTGAAGTCCGCCAACCCGCACTTGTCTAGCGTGGTGGACTATGGCCTGATTCCCCTCTTATTGAAAGGAGGCCCGTGCCTGGCATTGGGACATTAAAAAAGGCTGAATACATAAATACATGGAGTACCATCCTTATATGCCATGATCAGCCCAGATTGTTATGATTTCTATCTTATTGAGAGTCTGAGATCCGCGCGAAAACTAGGTAGTCTCTGGCCCGCAATATTGCAAGCAAGTAAGCCCAAGTGCACTCAGAATTGAGTACAAGATTAAAATATTTAATAGTAGCCAATAAATACTCACTGATATACTTAAAAGGCTTATTTAGTTTATGAAGTCTAGCCAATGTTTTTTCAGTGATGACGGTAATCCATTGTGGCGCTCGAGAATGACTATAAATATTTCCTCCAAGACAGAGTTCTATGTTATCTCGAACGATTTTCTGAACTTCTTCCACGTTAAAAGACAGATCCTAAATTTCATTTTTTCTATTATTTCAGTCAAAAAAAGCAAAAGGGTGAGCGTAATTTCAGTTTAAATTAATATTAAAGAAGTAATAGAGGCCTAATAAAGATTTTGTAAATAATCCATAACGATACTTATTTACATAGTATAAAATGAAGTCGCTTCCGCTGTCTGTTCGCATAGATCTTTTAAACTACTCAACGGATTTTAATGCAGTTTTCAGTAATAGAGTGATTCAAGAGGAAGGTATATATGTATGTGTAATACATGCATATTAAAGTACAGAAAAGCCGAGAAATTCAAAGATTTGTATTTCATACTAACCGTTAAAATGTACCTAGGGACGAACCTGAGCGAAGCGAGGGTGCGCTAGTAATATTATAAATGGAAAAGTGTTATTGCTTGTTTGTTTGTCCTTAGAGTTACAGATTGGCGTGATTCTTTGTCTAGAGACAGTTTTGAAGGGCTGGAGAGTGACATAGGCTACTTTTTACCGTAGAAGATTATCTCATTCCCACGGAAAAACACATAATACAACCCACAACAGCTCATCATACCTATGTATATACATATCTATACATATAATAAAAATGGACAAGTCGAATGTCGGTACATAGAAAAAAAATGCTAAAAATCGAGTCAGGGGGATGTAATAAGAGAAATAGAACAAATAGAGATTTTTTTAATTTTTTGTTTCTCTGTCTGTTTGTACAGGCTAATATCCAAAACTGTTGGACCGATTGAAATGCATGCATGGTGGTACCTTATAACCCCGGTCAACATTTTTACATACTTTTTATCCCGGAAAATTAAAGAATCTCCGTGAAATAGTTAAAAAACTATAGTAACTTATACTGCTTAGTACACAAAAACTACTGATTGGGTTTTAATGAAACTTTACAATAATATAAGTAGTTCATACATCAGAATAACAAATAGGCTACTTTTTAGATTTGTTTTTGTTTGTCTAGTGGCGAACCCGAGCGAAGTGAGGGTGTGCCGCTATTATTTTATAAAGTAAATTTTTGTGTCCGACTAGCTTTGGTCTATACTCAGGATGTCGCGGGTTTAATTTCCGTACAATTGAACATATGTATCTGAATTGAACTTTTTTATATGTGTAGAACAAGCTTTATTATAAGAACCACGATGTTAGATGTATTGTATACATATCATTTTAACATTCATGGTAGGAACTAGAGGAAAACTTAGAATTAAAGATATAGTGAGTGATATGTTGTTCCTCTATTATGTAGGTATGTACTTCAATAGAATATGAACGTTCAATTCCAAAAAAAGCTAAGGTGCAAGATCACCGCTAGGCGCGTATAAAATACTTAAAAACTACCTCTTCATCATCTTCTTGAGCCATTGGTCTGGTTGGTCTTTCTTATTTTAGTTCAAGACTATGTATACTTAAATCTAACAGAAGTTTGAAATTTTTGTTATATTATTTATGTAAGTAAATATAAACTAATTATATTTTATTCAAAATACGAATTGTAATAATTATACAAACTTTTTGTAAGATATATAACGACATATAGATTATACTAATTTGTATTTTTAAATATAAATTATTCAATTTTAAATATTACAGAACCATTAAAGTAGTAAGCATTTATTATATTTACTCAATTTTCAATGTTGTAATTAAACGATGTCTATTCTAGTAGAACTGCTTAAACTTGTACCGTTTCCAATTTAGGTAAACTGTCATTTTGCTCGACAAATTTCCGAACGCTTCTTCTCGTAACCCACTTTGAGGTTTTGAGCTTATTATTTTGTATTTTCTATTGTAAATTCGGAATGTTTGTGTCATATTATTACTTGTTTTGTTTAGAAAAAAGGTTGCACACGGATTGAACACAATATATAATGGTGTCTTAGATATTTATGCATTGTGAGTTGTGCTGTGTTCAAAATTAATGGAGTTAAAGGTCTGGGTCGAGGGAATACAAAGGATTGTTTGTGGAGTGACGGAAACTACCACTTGTCAGGTCAGTAGAATAATTTCTCATCGAAATTATGAAAGTGTACAGTGTTATACAAAGAAATCTTTATTATATATTTTTATATTTTGTGATACCTAAAGCTCAGTATTTAACCGAAGTTTTTTGCTAGTATTAGCTTTTTGTTGAGCTTTCTTTTGTACATTTTAGAAGAGGCTACGAAAATGAGAGTTATAATTTCTACGTTCCCATTTGGACAATTATTTCGTTTAATTAATATACTTACAATGAATAATTGAAAATCTATATAACTGTTATTCAATTTTAGGATGTAGTATTTGCTTTGGCCCATGCCACTGGTAAAGTCGGCAGATTTACATTAATAGAGAGATGGCGAAATAATGAACGTTTGTTAGCACCACAGGAGTATCCTTTAAAGGTAAATGAAATATTTTTCTTAATTTACATTAGTAGTAAAACTTAAACGATGAAACAAAAGTTACTCAAGTAATTAGTTAATAATTAAAAACACATAAACATCATATTCAATTTGTTACTATATATGAACTTTGCAGATATTGATGAAATGGGGTGAATACTCAAATGACATACAGTTTATATTAAGAAGATCTGACAACAGCAGCAACAACCAAAAACCACAACTTACTCTTAATCATTCTAGGTCACCTATTGGAAATGGGTATGTAATTATAAAAAGATTTTATATACTTTCAATTAATATAAATGAAAAATGGTGTTACTTACTTGTCATTATATGTCTAATATATAAAAAATATTGTAATCTAACATTATTAGTATAGCCCAAACTATAGCCCAAACTATTCATCCAACAGGAGCCATAACACTAACTCAGTACCAGATAAGCAAACTTCACCAAGTCAGGTGAACACTGTCCCTACACTTAATGTAAATAATACTTCTCCCAGCAATCCTGTGGGTGTGGTAAAAGGGGTACAACAAGCTAAGCCCCCTGAATCTAATAGTCCAGTGCTTAAAGATGTCCCACCTTATAGGTAAGGTTAACAAATGTCATATTTTGTAAAATTTAATGTATCATGGAAGGATGTTAATTATTTTGAATCTAAATTTAAATCTCTTAATTTAAATCTAATATATTTCAATGCATTCATTATTCCTATGAATGTATGATAATAAATCAAAGGCTTAACTTTGATTAATCTCATAAATTATATTAAAATTGCATGCTGACTGCTACAAATAAATAACAACTATTAATATTTTAAATCCATTAACCATAGCAATGCATAAAAGATATACAAAAGTTAAATTCTAATATCATTTAATTGTAATGTTATTAATGATTTTAATTAGTTGTCTAACATTTAACAGAGACCCACCACCACCATATAGATCGCCCCCACCACCTTCAGTAAGGAAATCTCCAAATCGTACCATTCACAGACCTCCCATGTCACCCGTGAACTTGACTGAACAAGAGGAACGAGGTCCGGAGGCAGTAAGCTACAATAACCAGTACAGAGAGCTGGTGTCGCTGGTGAATTACCAGAGAGAGAAACTGTCAAGTCAACAAGTTGATCTTATTAAGGTGATAATTAGTGTCTAATGGCTGCTATTATAATTTAAAAGTAAAATATTTAATGTATAATTATAATTTTCAAAAAAAAAAAATCTTTAAGTAATAGTTTTATTCAAAATATAGCTTAGTTTGTGGTATTTCACTCAGTAGGTTTCAAGGTAAAGCTTAAGTAGCCTGAACTGTTTTGTATAAAGCTGTGTTCATATGAAATCATTGTTGACCAAATAGAAATGCATACATCTCCCAACAGTAGACTCTACAAAGGCTTATTTATAATTTATTTGCTGTTATTAAGTTATACTTCTTTTTGCACGTTTGGAAAAATTTATGAGCGTAAAATTTTTACGACGCTCGCCCAAACCGACAGCCTAAAAGCGACATGATGAAGTTAGCTGCATTCCTTTTACAAATAGAGAGTTGTGACATATGGAATGAAATCTTTAGCTATTTTTGGTCCGTTACGCCAAAAGAATTTTAACTTCTTACGTGCGTAGGTGCGTACATAAGTACATACACACGTTTTTAATTTATTATATACATATATAAACCTCTAGTAGTAATAATGAATTATCTCATATAATCAGTATGATGCGGAAATTGGTTACTGGGAGAATAAAGGAAGAGAACAAGAACGACAGGTGGAGTTACTGCAGCAACAAATTAGCTCAGCCGACAATCAACTACGCATTAGCACTGAACAGGTATGTTTCATTATAATTATGTGTCCTAACGTTATTCATTAAAGAGAGAACTGTGACTTGCTAATCAATTCTTCAAGACTAATATAATGAGTAAAAAAGGCCAAAGTTTATTTCTATTGCATCCTATTATCGACATTATTGTCTATGGATCCCTACCTCATACAAAATAGTTAAAAAAGTTTCGAATAATATTTTCCAAAAAGTATTTCAGAAACTAACAATATTTTAAGGTGAAGACATTTTACATTTTGATATTATTATTAATTCATTTGTATGTATGTATGTGTAAATTACATGTATATACTAAAGTCAATTTTATATCTATATAGTATTTGTATAAAATATTTACATTTATAAAAATTATATTATAAATATAAAATCCATAATATCCAGATAATTATTTACACACAATATTGTAAGATGATATATTTCCCATGAAACGATTCATTATCAGACTGAATTCTCACACTCAAATCAAATTACACTCGTTGTTACTGTATTAGAAACTACGCTATTGTTATGTTTAAATATAGTGTTACTGTGAGAGGCAGCAAAATAGTTAAAATGTATTAACGAGACACGGTTTGTGTTTAACTTAAATAAATGATGATTAGCACTTGCTTACCATTATATACCAGTGATATATTATATGATAGACATAGTTTGTTGAGAATTAGACACTTAACCTCGCTTTGTTTGGGTCTTTAGGTACGCGGATTTTATTTGCAATATCATGGGTTTTATATTTTTTTGATTGGATCCCTGATGCCCGATTTCACCAACGTTACCTAAGTTTAAGGGATCCCCTAAGCATGGTTAGGGGGCTGTTAGGGGACAGTTTCTGTTTCACCGACAGTTAGGGGTCACCTAAATATTAAAAGGCCCCCTAAATTTAGGTGCTCGAAATATGGGCTTAAAGACGATCGTAAAATGAAATTTAATTTAGGGGCTAGTTTAGGGGACTTTTAAGCTAGGGATCCATACGTAGATGGTAGCTTATGGGTTGTTCGTGAAATCGGGCATGACTCTTTTTTTTTAAAGTAGCCTATTTAACTCCTTATAACATCATCTATCTGCCATTGAGTCCCGTTAAAATCGGAAATTAGTCGGAACAAACAGACAGACAAAAATTTTAAAAATAGTTTTTTTCTCTTATTAGTGCCGAACTATACTTTCATATGCATCGTAAGTAAAAAGCTGTTATTTTCACATTATAAACAGACACTTCAATTTTATTTATCTGTATAGATTAATAAGTCGTTTTCAAAATCCAAAAGCATAGCCAATGAATTGTTTTATGTATCTTAGAGAAGTTTTTTTTTAAAGTAAGCAATAATTAATTATTGACAGTTTGTTTTTTAAAGTTTATATTTAAAATAAAAAATGAACTGTGTTTTTAGGTACAAGCATTCAATTATGTGGAAGAGGAGAGTGAAATAGTCAAACAAAATGAGAAAACATTGAAATCAGAAATAGTTTTAGTGCGATCCAAACTTGCAAACTGTGAAACTGAGTTATTGCAATGCAAAAACAAAATTCGCAAATTAATGGAGGACATACACAATGAACAGCGCGTCATCAATAGCCGCCAGCAAGAGAATAGGTATATAAACATTATTATATAAATATGAACATTATCGAAGGCAGTGGTAGCCCAGTGGTAACGCGCTCGCTTTGCAAACCGAGTGAAGCGGGTTCAAATCCCGGGTCTCGCACCTCTCATATTTTTATGTGCGAATCATTTCCAACATGATTACCACTTGTCTTACGGCGAAGGAAAACATATTGAGGAAACCTGCATGTCTGAAAGAACCTAGCAAGTTTTCGAAAGACATGTCCGCTAAACCGCACTTGGGACTATGGCCTGATCCCCCTAGCATTGAAGGGAGGCTCGTGCAAAGTAGTAGGACGTTAAAAAAGGCTGAATACAATAGGCATACATTATTTCAGATTTCCTGCAATTATTTTGTTTACATATATATAATTGAATTTCATAAAAAAATATTTTTTTGTAGGCAAGCCCTAGAAAGATCAATGCTAGCAGAGATGGAGAATTTACAAACTCAGATACAGCAAGCTAAACATGCCACCGAAATCAACCACTTGACTGCAGAAAATTTGAAAAGAGAGGTTTGAAATTCATTATATATAAAAAAGTAATAATAGTATAAAATTGTTAGACAAATTCACTTTGAATTATTAGGAACCATTGTAAGTTAGTTAAAATCATTTTTTAATATTCTTATGTAAAAAATCGACAATGAAAAGAAAACATTGTGTTTCTATTGTGCTACATATTATTTAGTTTTTAATAATTTTGCTTTGAACATTCACAGGTGGGTGTTTTGGAGAGTGCGATAATGGAAAAGAAACGTCAAGTAGAGCGCTTAGTGCAGGAGATGAAAGAAGCAAACCTACAAAGTCTCACCGGCAGTGTGGACGAGTTGAGACATCCTCTTGACGGTACTTATTAATTAAAATAAAAATTACACATTAAGTTTGTGAGTGTGTTTGTTATTTGTTCACAATGTTCTGAATGGAAATTCTTATACAATTTGTATAGAAAAATATTATAAAAATTAATTATATTCTAAATGAACCCGTAAGTTGTTTACCACCTTACAACGCGAGCAGAGTCGCGGGTGAAAAGTCGGGTTTATTAATTATATTGAATTTTTAACCATAGTTTATTATGGTGTAAAATAGAACATGTAAGTTATTTACCAACTTACAACGCGAGCAGAGTTGCGGATGAAAAGTGCTGTTTATTAATAATATTAAATTTTTAAAAGTTGTGTTTTTCTTATGAGTACCGTAAATAATTTCATATGCATTTACTAAAAAGCTGTTATTTTAACATTACAAACAGACACTCCAATTTAATTTATCTGTATAGATTAAATAGTATACAGAACAATTCTTTATTTCAGGTTTATGCAAGGCAGGTAGTGCTCGTAGAATAATAGGATCACCGAGACAGCTAGAAAATGCTGCACCTACTAATAAAAATCCTCATGGAGTTTGGGTGTAAAGATTAAATTTTTATATTAATTTAAATGTTTGAATGTGTGTACATATATCAGTTGCTGGCCCAGTGAACAATGATAATAGGGTAGAGCTGTATTTAATGTTTTAACTTAATATATTGTGAGATAAAATGTTTAAATATCCTATTCTATTTATTCTAAAACTTCATATTGATTTGTGAAAGCTCAAAAAACCCTTCAACTCCTACTTATTCTTAAGATCAAGAATTAATATGATAATGAATTATTCAAACAAAATTAGAAAATATAGGTGGCATATTTTTCGGTGTTGCCATTTTAGACATTTGAATTTTTATTCTATATCTGTTATTTTCGAAATTATTTGCTGATGTAAATTATGTATATGTTACCGGTTAAACTAGATTTCTGGTCAAACTGGTTTGTCCTAGGCCCAACCGGTTCTTACTCAAAGTGTGTCAGAATATACTTGTTTAGCTCAGGACAATGTAGTTTGGCCTAAATACTTAAGACTTAACTAGTTTGGCCTAGGCCAAACAGATTGACAAAACATATCACTTATGATGTTGGGGGTTCTGGTCCTACGTTATCCAAGTCGGGCCTCTCCTGTAATAATACTCCCACTTCTCCAGATGCTGCGTCCCATATACTAACACAGCCGAATAATATCGCAAAAACAGTTCGGCCTAGGCCAAACTAGTTAAGCCCATAGTATTTAGTATTTTGTCTGTACTAAACTAGTACATCCTAACGATGAACCAGTTTGATCTGAAATCTAGTTTGGCCAGCAACATATACTTGAGTTATATGTAGATTGAAGATTTTTTGATGCAATGTTTTTTGTACTGCCATAGATTTTGTGTGAATGTTATTATAAAAGAATGCATTATTTAACTTCATATATTTTGTAAGTTATTATTTAGTGGTTAATTTATTAGATTTGTGTTCAAATTAGTGTCATATTTAATCATTGTCACAAACTATATTATATTTTAAGGAATTTGGTTTTTGTTTTAAAGTATTAATCGTATCTTGCCGTTTTAAAGTGACAATAAGTTAATCAAAACTTCTGTTGAGACTGTTTTGTACTTAAATATAATATCATAAAAGAGGAAGGAAAGCATTTTATATTTACCAAAAGATAAATTGTCATCAATAAGGCACTGTCTTTGTGATTAGTTTGAAGGTTTTTAATTATTTGATTTAATATTTGTGCCATGAGTGCATTATGTGTTTGAAGAATATTGTTAATTATATTTTTAGAAATCCACTTTTTATAACTAAAATGTATCCATATTCTAAAATATGTGTTTGCAATATAGAATAATGTATTGATAATAATTATCTAGTCGGAAATATAAGCCATTGCAATATTATAGACAATTCATAGACGTACGGCCTAACAATTTACTTGGAATATATTCAAGCATAATAAACTAAATTCTAGGTTATGACCTAGGGTTTATTTATAGATTGTATTCCTCTGTGTACTCTGCTTGGTTACTCTATAATAGACAGTTTGTGTATCTTCATATACAAAATATACTGAATTTAGAACAAATTTTTAGTTTTTTTTTAATCCGTTTCATAAGAAGTTTATCTTTTATTCTTTCACTTTATCTGTAAAAGTTTTAGGTTTTTTTTTTCTCGATATCTTATATTATTATATTACCTTCACACTCATTTAATATTGACAATTTCTATGATTATTAAAAATTATGCAATTACTCGTGATAGTTAATTATTGGTCTTTTATTATTTTTTCCTTTCACTAATTTTTAAATTTCAACTAATTTTGAATAAATATATTTTTTAAATCGTTTTCTTTTATTAAGTATTGATTATATTGAGTATATTATTTTTTGAGTGCATATTATTTTCTTTATAATTTATAGTTAAGGGTTCCGCTAGTTAAAGTAAATATCCAAAGACGACATTGTGAGTTTCTCTAGCAACGTATTGAAAAATATTATTTAAATCCTAACTCACTTCATTATCTAAGTTGAAGACGTTAATCTTAGTGTTAGGAAATAACAAGTGTTTGTGAAAAAATAAAACGAGGACATATTTATATATATATATATTGGATATATATATATATTGGAAACCTTATATTTAAATCAAGTAATTAATCTGTCAACTGTATTAAAAAACTATTTTCTGTACAGAATTTTATAAATGCGTTAACTTGACGCTGTACTTATTATATTATGTCGTACGATTCTTGCATGAATCAATACTATATACAGATTGCCAGTTTAAAATATAAAACAAAACAAATCCCTTTTTAATCCTCTATCTTCTGGCAATAACATTTATTTCTGATATAAAATATGAACAATATTTTATTTTTTTCATCACAATATAAATACTTACATATTGTTGGCTCACTATTACAAGGTTCTATGTTAATTTTAATAAAGTTTATAAATTTTACATAGAACTTCGTTATTTTGTTATTGTTAAAAAAAACAATATAGAACTATGTAAAATTGAATATTTTGTAGTTATAGTGACGCTATCTAGTGGTTTGTTTTTGCAAAACTGTAGCTAATGACACATAAAACCTTGTCGCATTAACAACTAAATAAATACTAAAATTGTAACATAGAACCTTGTAATTGTGACCCAACGAATTATGTCTGTAGACAACAGTCAGTTCAGCGTTAGTGAGATGACCTAAAGCTTCTTTACTTAGCATCTATTGTGAACTAAAATATTTTCACATAGTTGTGAATTACCCCTTTTTACAAAATAATATAAAGATGCCTTCACATTTGTATTTTATTTAAACATAGAAAACGGACATTTCTCTACTATTATTTTTTTATTCTTGAGGGCATAAAAATTATCGAGTGTCATCTCACTTGCGCTGTAAATACTATGCTTTTTCTTCTTTTTCTCTATTATATCGTTCTAGTTCTTTTAAGAATTGTCCTTTAGGTTTCATTACATTAGGACGATCGCCACGACACTTGGGGCAAAACCATTTGCCTTTTGGCTTTGTTGTGAGAAAAACACATGAGAAATGGAACCATTCTATGGGGCAAAGGTCATTATCACACAGAATCATTTCTCCGTAAGATATCTGATCACAGAGACAGTATCGAGGCTCATCAGGATCAATGGCGTCTGTTTCTTCAGGAGGTGTTTCTGAACGTTGTGCTGTTTGGCGCGCTTTGCGTTTCTTCTTCTTACCTATACCTAATAACATTTATATCATTAATAATTATAACATAAATTAAACGAAATGATAGAATTAAGTCATAAGTTAAAACAAATGTTATTGTCAAATATTAAATTTATAATAATAATATAAATACTTACCCTTCTTATGAGTAGTATTGTGTGTGTGCCTTTCGTTGTCTCTCTCGCCAGAGTCCGCGCCATCCGTCGCAGCGCCTGCCGTAGTCCGGGACCGTCGCGGACGTTTTGACCAGCGTTCGCCTGTTGAAAAATATAATAATTAATTTAGTATTCCATTATTTTTTTAATATTATAAATGGGAAAGTTTGAATGGATGGATGTTTGTTACTTAATTACACCAGTACAGTTGAACAGATCTGGATGAAATTTGGCATAGAGATAGATTATAGTCTGGTTCTACTTTTTATCCAGGAAGAATGCACAATTCCCGTGGGATAGATTTGTTTTTGTTTATTCACAGAACAAGAAATCTACTGCATACTAACCGTTAATAAATAAAAACCTTGTATATAGTAAATGATGATTTTGAGAGCATTCAATAAGATAGTCTTTTTTTCTTTTTTTTTTAATTTTCTTTATATTTAAAATTTCTTAATGTTTACTATTTAAAATTGAATGAGTTCATAAGTATAAAAAATTGACAATATTATACCACTCTTACCTCCAGACTTATCTTTATCTGTTTTTTCTTTCTCTTTGTCATTAGATCTTTCAGGAGGTGCTGGAGCTGGTGTATGTTGTTGCTGCGTCTGTGTGCTTGTGTCCTTGTCAGTTGATCGAGACTCTGAACTTTGAGGTGATTCTTCTTTAACTGTTCCATTTGTGTTAACTTCTAAACAGGAAACTGGAAAAAATATTTCTATTTTTTATACTTTATTATCTATACTAATATTATAAAGAGGTAAAGTTTGTGAGTTTGTGACGTTGTAGGGTGAAGTCTCTGAATTTACTGAACCGATTTAGATGAAATTTGGTAAGAAGATAGTTTGAGACCCTACGAAGGACATAAGATATTTTTTATCCCGGAAATAATCTGTTAAGGGACAGAAAATGGGGATGAAGGTTTGTATAGAGAATCAAGCAAGTCTAAATATATTTTGATACACATTATTACTATTCTTTATTGCACTTAAAAAAAATCTCTTCCAGCCAACCTATGGTAGTGAGAAATAGTGTTACAAAGCAGGCTAAATTCATGCAATCGTAATTATATAAATAATATATAGATACTCAAAAATAAATAGCTAATTAAATAATATATGTAATACCATATAATATACACTACTTACTATACCATACATAATTATGTACATATATACATACACACTACTACTTACATTAATACATATATCTGTATAATATAATACATAATAATAGTAATTAAGATAATTTTTGATTTAATTGAGTGAGAAGGTGCTGTTTTAATTTTTCATTATATATTATATAAGATCTTATATTTAAATTTTAGTATTGAATTGCTGCTCTTAAGTCATTGAAACCATATGTATAGTGGTATAACTAATAGCTAAAAACGATTTTTTTAATTTATTGAATTTTCTTTTTTTTAAGAAGTCAAAAAGTATCAAAGATAAAACAGATTGTTGATCTATTTAATAATATTATTAGTAACTATTTAGTATATTGTTTTAAGTCTTGTTATATAAAATTTAAGGTTTCTATATTATGTTTACTCATAAAAATTAACATAATTCATTATGTTTTCAAAAATTTATAAATATATTAATAATTATCCAAAATATATTATCTTCATGTAAAGAAACAAACATTCAATTTATAAAAAGAAAAATAATATATAATATATATAATATAATATATATATAATAGTCCAAAAGGAAATTTACTTAATTTCTTGTGGTCTGCATCGAGGGATCTTTGTTTATTGTCAATAAGATCTTGTAATAGTTGTACTACTTGTAGCTTCTCATCACCAATCTCTTGAGCAGCCACTAGTGCTGTTTGAAGACGCAAAGCAGCTCTCCCACGTCGTCGCTCCTCCGTACTAGGTCCAATGCAAACTGCTAAGTGTGTCTCTGCATCTCGGAGGCACTCTACACAACAAATTATATGAAAAATATGTTGTAATTATCAATGTTCACATTAATAATATTATTTATATATGAAAATTTCAAAGAAATTCAGAATTTTAATCTCGGATTTTAGAATAATCCAATCTATAATCACTTAAGCTTTTTATAAAATGATGAATGAAAATGCTATTGATGTTCATAGTAGATTAAAATAGCTTAAAGCACTTTAGTAATTATATATTACAATAAAGCATCATGATTGTAACAAATTAAGATTGGAGAATGGATTACAAATGAAAACGTCAACATACAAAAATTGAATTCTATTCATAGTTTCAAAGGATCCAGGTTTTTCTGTAGGCACAACAGGTATTAAATAAACAAAAAGAAAGAGAAATATTCCGAATATTACCTCTATAAGTCACATCTAATTCTCGCATACGCGATAAATGTCGTTGCAGGTCATTGGGCAAATTTTCAACACAATCTAAGTAATTTTCAACATAAGTTGCTGAAAGCAGCGCCTCTGTTGAAGTTTGATTCAACATAACTAATGATTTCACACAGTTATCATTATCGAAATAATGAGAAACTAAGAAAATATAATTAACTTTCAAAGCCAATAACAAGTTATTACAATCCAAAGCCGTCAAACGTTCGTAAACTATGGAACCATAGGCAAACAGTTTAGTTCAGAAACTATTTCATGTTTATTACAAAATGACAATCATATTTTTAAATACTTTCATGTAAGTAATAAATTAAAGTAATGCAAAATTGGAACTTTTATTTATATTGAATCAAATAAGTAATAATAACAAAGCAGTAAGAAAAAAATAGAACTAAGAAGGAAAATTAATACGATTTTATGATATTATTTCTGAACGTAAAATTTGTTTGCATTTTGCAATCTATTTTCAAAATATTTAAGTCCATGACATATGTCACCTTATAACGAAAGTTGAGAATTAGGACCATAGACAATTTTACGATCGGGACATTAGAGAAGGACGGAGTTACCTCTTAGCTTGAGAAAGTTGTCCTTATTACATTATAAAAATTCTGTATGAATTAACATTCGAAAATTCTTGTGGTTAATTTATCAATAAAAATTTTCACATTTCCCGTTTTGCATTGAAAAATTAGTTAGATTGCCTTAACGCATGGGGTTTCATCACCAACAAAGAAAAATTAGTTCAAATAAATGTCAATAGATGACGTCACATGTATCAATTTATTATAAACTTGTGTTAAATGAGGAAGATTTCTCGAAAGGAGGGCACCACACGTATGGCCTATTTACATTCAGTCTGAGATTAAGCAATTTATTGTGATATCTCTTTTATACCTAATTTTTTGCTTCTATTGTGTTCGCATCTTACCTGTGCAATGTACAATATATTGCACAGGTAACATGCGAACCTGGAAGTTAGACCAGTCGAAGGTAGAATTGAGACGGAGAGGTGCATCCTCCGGTGGTCCTGACTGACGGATGGGCCAATACATAGCCTAAGCCGCTAGTCGTAGAAACGTGAAATTTGGAGGACGTATTGCTATGATGTAGGTATCTGATAAGAAAGGATTTTTCGAAATTCATCCCTTAATAAAGTAAAATATAGTAGTAATAAAAAGTAAAATAAAGTAAAATAGGAGATTAAAGATTGTATGAAACTCTGTCATTCTTAATGTGAAATACACAGACAATGGTGCTTAGCTTTAAGATAAAAAATTAGAAAGATATTTATTAGATTGTTTTCAAAATTCATTACTTAAAGGGATAAAAGGGGGTAATAAAGTTAATATGGGCAAAGAATTATTTGTGGTCAGAATTACTTGAAATTTGGTACTAATACTCTTCAATACAGTTAAATAAATACATGTTTAAGCATTTTTCAAAATTCAATCCCATAAGGGGGTAAAATCGGTGATGAAAGTTTGTATGAAACTCTGTAATTAGTATGTAAAAAAGTACAAAAAAAATCTGTAGACGATTTAAGAGTTTTAAAATTATTTTCTATAAAATGAAGTCCACATAGACTTAAATATGAAGACTAATTTTGGTCGGCTTATTGCTTTAGCCCACAATTTCTTCAGTTTTTGTATTTGAGAACAAATGATATCCATTTTCTTTGCATCCTGGTACTGCACAATTTGTTATTTTAATTGAATTCTAAATGAAATGAAAAAAAAATCCATGAACGCTATAGAACTTTACAATATACTGAGCGTGAGCGCTATAGTGATCGCGACATCTGGCGGGAGAAAAAAGCTAAATTCTTCCCCATTGACAAAATATAAAAAATAGATTCCAAAAAGGTGCATTATTGTTTTACAAAATATTCTAAGTCAAGAGAAACGAAATAATGCGCTCGTAAATCAAATTTGAGAAATTTTTACTGATTATTGAAATATCAACAATGAGATGATGAGTTTGTAGAGTATTATTATTCGTTTTTTATGAATTGTTTATCATGGTAAAAAATGTTAAAATCACAGTTTTTTTATCGAATGTACGATGAATTTTATACCTACCATACGTTAGATAAAATTATATATATATAATAAATATATATCATACGTTACTTTGCACATATTTATAATATTATAAAACAGTTTAACTATTTGCGAATCAACGACATCTATTATCTATTCAAGCAAACAAAAATAGCCCAGAGAATAGCCCGAATTAGTGTTGTCCAAATTCTTTGTATATGATTTATCTTTTAATACAATAATTTACTTACATAATTTGGTAAAAATCAGCACCCGCAAACAACAACATTGTTACTTTGAAATTAAAGGTAATTTAAAAATAGAAATTAATTTCTCAAATTAAAAACTTATAATTTCTATAAGACTGAGTTACAATGTTATTCCTTGCAGGTTTTGTAATAAAAGGATCTCAATTCCAAAAAAATATTGCTTTTTTTTAAACATCGTAATATGGTGTGTAAGTTACACAGGTTAGTGCTTGAGCAAACCGTTTTCTTATTATTTTGCCCATTATAAAATCAGGCGCGGATGCTGGATGATCTCTATTTCAAAGACAGACCCTTTTTCTTCAAGGCCCAGGCTTTTTTATGGGGTTAACCGTCAAAAGTATATGTATAATAATGTTAAGGGCGCACCGAAGAAGCGAAACGTAATTACGTTTATTGTGTTACGAAATAATTGCGTTCGTTTGATCGCTTGCTTTATTGTTATTACTAAAACTTTAACTATGAAATTAATAAATAGGATATTTAAGGATTTATTAAAAAAAAATCAAAATATAATAAACCCTTAATGCGGCGTAAATAATTCAAGAAAGTTCATAAGTTTTTTAATAATAACGTATACACTTTACCTTTTCAAAATGTGTATTTGTTTTAATAATACGAAGGAAATACCTAAATTCGCACGCGTTCCGTCCATCCTAGCCACCCCCCCCCTGCCCGCGTTTATCGTACTAAAATCAATTAGCGCCAAAAGCTCGGTGCCCCCTTAATCAATATTTTTTATCAAGTTGTTCAAATTATTATACCTAATAATTTTGAATAAAACTGTTCAATTAAACCGAATTAAACAAATACAATTTTTAAAACTCTGAAATGTATGAGACAATATTGAATTGTGTAATCTGGTGTCATCCACGAAATTATAATTTTCCAATTTAAACGTGTCTCGCACCTCTGATATTTTCATGTGCGAATCATTTCCAACATGATTACCACTTGTCTTAACGGTGAAGAAAAACATCGTGAGGAAACCTGCATGTCTGAGAGAATCTAGCAAGTTTTCAAAAAGTCATGTGAAGTCCGCCAACCCGCACTTGGCCAGCGTAGTGGACTATGGCCTGATTCTCCTCGTACTGAAGGGAGGCCCGCGCTCGGCAGTGGGACGTTAAAAAGGGCTGAATACACACAATCATAGAGGGTAGAACTAAGGAGAACCAACTTATATGGGAAACAAGTAGGAAAAGTGTCCAGTGGTGAGCAGCAAATTGTAATTCAGAAAGGCACTGATGTATCGCTAGCGTAGTAAGTAGATGTGATGAAAGTTAGCAGTTTTAAACGGCGTGAAGTTTGATGAATCAAATTATTACTTGAAAATAATATGTAATTATATTCTCTAACGGTGTTTGCCTATGTTAGAACTATTTTAATTCACCATCTTACTCTTATGGCTTTTGGCGCTATGTTTTGAATTCATCTACTTGTTTTCTGTGGCGCCACCAATTTGATGCTTGTCAACGGTTACTTTTTATACGAGAGATAGTTCTCCTTAGTTCTACCCTCCATAAGTACAATGCATAATTTCCATTCAAGGTGTACTTATTTGTTTTTAATTTTTATGGGACCACGGACTACCCTTGAGATATATATAACCTGTTTATTTGAATAAGAATTATAAAAAATAATTCATAATTATTGGCGAAGATATTGTGTACCAAACCCAAAAAATTGACAAAATAGATTAAGAAACCCAAGTTCAACCCGAATACAAAAGAATTGAGTACATGTTTACTTTTGAAATTAGTCAAATCGTTATTAATTTTTATAAAAGCTTCATAAAAGCTTTTTGGATAATATTATAACATGGCGTGACAGAGAATTAAAAAAATAAATAAGTACCTAATTGAAAAAAAAACGCATACAGTGGCTAAAATATATATATATATATATATATATATATATAATTTTAAAACCTATTCTCTAGAAGCAGGATGCTTTCGCTTCGCTACACAACTAAAGTTTCAGTAAGATTCATTGAATTGAAAATAATGCCATCAAAAAATAAAAGATTAATTTGTTTCAATAATTATATGCGGGGCATATATTTTGTCTAGTATACTCGTACCTACTTTAACATTTTAATTTTTTAAAATTAAATGCAGTTTTTAGGATCATCTGTCGGTGTAAATTGAATTAGTTATCTCAGAAGATTAAGCTTTTATAACTAAGTTTCTTATAGTACCAATACATAATACCTGAACGATATTTAGTAATGGCGGCCATGTTGCTGAAATAAGCATGCGCAAACACAGGTGCATTTTATTCCCTCAAAAATACAATGGGACAAACAGCAATCTAACTCTACCGGGGGGAGATCAATCTGCCTTCAGGTCACAATGATTTGAAAATACATAATATTTGAAATGTTTTTTTTTGCAAATACTGTAAAAATTATAATCAAAATAAGTTCTCATAAGTAGGTAGTTCTAATAAAGCATGTTAGGATAGGTATCTGATGTCATTGTATGATGTAAGGCTAGGTAGCTTTCGAGATGAGGATAGTTTAATATTGCAAACGTAATAATGGCTATGAGATTTAAGAACAAAGGGAAATCATAAGTCTAAATAATAACAAAGTTAACTACCATTTGAGGCCGACCGAACACCTACATTTATTTCGCCCACATCTTTGTAATAATCATAAAATGTGCGGCGACAGTTCGCTCTATAATCACGAGGTAACTAACACGCGATATAAGTTAATATTTTTACTTTTATTATAATTGTGAAAATTCAATTGGATTTCTTTCATCTTATCATACGACATATTTTGT